AGGGGAGGGGAGGGAGGTACACACAGGACACAGCACAGACGCATACGCCAAATGATATATGTGCCCTTCTGCCTGCCAGGAATGAGAAGCCCGAGCTGCCCAAGGAGGTGCGAGAATTCGTTGCCAACTCAGACGTGGTCAGACATTTGACAAACACAAAGCCGCCATGACGCTCGAGACACTTGTCCTTTTATGGATGCTCTCTCCCTGCCTCCCTGTGTGTGCAGGAGTTTGCCCGCTACAACCTCTTTTGGACTCTGCGGCGGGCCTACGGGCGATTCGCACGCAGCCGCGTGTACACTGTGCAGCTGACCAACTCGTAAGGGGAATCTGCAGACAGAGCAGCCGCAACACGGGTGCTTATGGATGCGTGTTGTTTCTCCAGTGGGATGTCTGGCTTCCCTTCGTCAAAGATCCGCATCATGCTTGCAGGTACACCCATACAAATGAGAGTCACGGCATGTGTATCTGTCCCCCTTCCCCCTCATGCAGGTGTGGTGGAGCCCCCAGGCACCGTCACATCCGAGGGCCTCATCACCCCCCAGGACATCATCACCCCCAACCGCACCGCACAGCGACTCCACTACGCAGGCACCAAATACAACTCCACACACGACAGAAGGCGACTGGCGATGGACAAACGACCGGCCAACGGCGCGTGGCCCTTCCACGGCTATTTCAATGGCGAGTACGCCGACCCCCCACTGGAATTGCAAAAGAGTGGGAAGGTGCCGGTGGGCGAGAGGTCGCTGGGTACCAACATGACTGTCGACCAGCTGGTGGAGCGGGCGAGGGACATCCCGGCAATCATGGAGGCTCACGTCTTCAACGAAACGGGACACAGGGTGAGTTGGGGGACCCAACATGCTCACTGCATGCCGGAGGGAGAAACGTTCCCTTTGACCACGGCATGTCTGTCTGCGGATGGATGGATGGATGGATGGCTCAGTTAGAGACGAGGATCTTCGTGCCCAACGACACGAGCGACCTGCCATCAGTACGTACACACGCCTACAGACATGCCCCAACACAACACGACACATAAATAACACTTGTCCCTCTCCCCACTCAGGTGATGTTCGAGCTCCCCTCATCGACGCTGGCCAACCGGTCGTCGGCCATCCTCCACATCGTGGGTGCGCCGCGGCTGGGCTTCAAGAAGCGACTGCCGTCGAGGCAGCGGGCGGCCAGGCGATCGCTGCACAACGAGGAGGACCAGACAGCCGAGGTCAAGCCTTCACGAATCGCCATGTGCGTCATGGAGATCAAGGACCTGGTTCCCGAGGGGGAGTCGTCTGCGGAGGGTGGCGGGGCGCCGACGGACGGTGGGTTCGGTGAAGCATTGGGCAAGCCGCTCCCATCGTGGCTGTCGTGCCACTGCCACGCGCCAATCGAGCTGAGGCGGCTGCAGTGGCACAGCGTGCCGGTAGGGAGGGAGGTGCATGTACGCATCACTCATCCGCCAGCATGTGTGTGGATGTGTGTTAACCTCACCGGTCAGTTGTATGTGGAGGACTTGGACGACAAGCTGTGTCGTCGTGCCGCACAGATGATGGACACGTGGGAGCAGCTGCCCGACATTGAACCGGTCAGACAGACACCCGGAAAGGCGGACAGACGGACAGACGGACAGACAGACGGACAGACAGACAGACAGACAGGGATGCAATGCCCACGTGCCTACGTGTCTGTGTGCGTGTATGCAGCGGTGGTACGAGGCGGGGGTTACCACTGCTGCCGAGGTGCCCGTGGTCGAGACCGACACACAGTCGCTGATCGTCCAGTCGCCCAACTTCTATGGGGTGTGTGGGGCAATACACGCACAAGCAGACAGACAGACAGAAAGACAGGCGAAAGGATGTGTGTTTCTGTTGTGTTTGTCTAAATGCAGGTGGCGCTCATCCTGTTCATGATTGAGGTGAGTGAGATTCAGAGTAGGAGTGCATGGATGCCAAGACACTCAACCAGGGAAGCACCTCCCTGTTTGTGTGTTTGTTTGTTTCAGGTGATATGTCTGGTGCAGGGCTGCTGCATCGGCTGCTGGGTGTACAGGCAAGTGCATCCACTCACTCCCGCCGCCAATCTCTGTCATATACACACATCGATCGCCGTGTAGTATGTCAGTATGGTTGGTGTGCCTGACTGACTGACTGACTGAGTGCAGGAAGGACATTGGGGACTTCCTGGGGGGATCCACTGACACGGCCGAGACCGAAAAAAGTAAGTACCACACACCAACCAACCCAACACTCACAAGCAATGGGAAGTGAACACTTATGAGTGTGATGCATATGATGCATGTCATGTGCACTGACTACACGGGCAGTGGTTGACGAGGCCGTGTCAAGTGCGCAGGACTGTTGCTGGCGTCTGTGTTGCTGCCTCGCCGTGTGCTTCCCGTGGAAGAAGAGGCGGGTCATCACACCGACTGGAGGTGCGCAGCTAGCACGACTAGCCACGGACACAGATGCATTGGTTCATTCATAGCGTGTTTGCACTGTTTGTGTCTCTGTCTGCACTGCAGGCCGCCCATCTCGGGTACGCCACGCATGAGTGCGTGTGAAGGTCTTTTTCTCTGTCTATCTGTCTGTCTGTGGGGCGTGTGCAGGTGAGTCGTACGGTGGGTCCGCAGAAGAAGTGGGAGGACCTTCGTGGCGGTCGGGTGGTGGGCAAGCCCGCGACAGGCAGGACACAGGTCATAGAGATCACCGGCGGGGACGTCTGATGGTCTGCTTGTCTGTGTAGTGTCATGTGCGTCCATAGATGTTCGGATGCACGTTAGGTAGCGCATTAGTCCTCGAGGACTGCCAGTGTTTGGTCAGTGTGTGTGGATGAGACAATGAGTCGTGACAGACAGCAAAGGAGTGTGTTGGTGGTTTTTGGCATTTGTTGGTTTATTTGTGGTGGTTTGTGAGTCATAACTACGGATGTGTTTCGCGAGCCCGACGACAGGACATCTGCAAGATCAGCCCGTATTCCTTCCCTGGCGGCAGCCCGTTACCGACAGCCCGTTACCGACCGACAAATCACGTCAAGATGTCACGCCTACGGCCTCCCGAGGACCTCCCTGTGCGAAAAATTGTAGACTTTGACTGTCGTTCGCTCGGCCATCTCGACGTCGTCATCAACGAGCCCTTCGACCAGCAAAACAGAAATACGTGCTGGATCTACGCGTCGGCATGTGCATTCAAGTGCTCGGCCCTCCTGAAAGATGAAGGGTGCCACGTGTGGGACCCCCCGGAGCTGTCGCATCTGTGCAGTGAGGAGAGGCTTCTGCGGCTGTGCGGCAGGACTGCTGAATCTGGTGGTGACCCTGCTCATGCGCTGGAGTGCCTGACGGGGACCAAGCCCGTACAGCTCGGATACGAGTACGAACAAGGAGGCGCACGAGCGGGTGAAAGCAATCTGCAAGTAGGTACACTGATGGATGGATAAGCAGCATGCAACCATAGCACGATGGATGCGTCTGGCTTTTCTGTCTGGCTCATCAGGTGGATGGTGCGCGAGGGGCCTGTCATAGTCACAAGTGAGCAACGACCACTGAGCGCGTTGAGTCATGTGATGGAGATGTCCCTCATTATGTGTCAGGTTTCCGAATCGCGGCTGACTTCACTGGCTCGGCAGCAGCGCCGTACGACTCCCGCTCCGGCGGCACGGCATTTCGAGATGGCAACGTAACCCATGCAATGGTGTTCTATGGGTGGAGGAAGACGGAACACGGCATCTGGATGTAAGTGTGGGCACGAACACGCAGGGGCTGAATGCACGTACCCATCACTCTCTCTCTCTCTCTCTGTGTGTGTGTGTGTGTGTGTGTGTGCGTGTGTGTGTGTGTTTGACTGTGTGTGTGCGTGTCGTGTGCAGGTGGCGGGTCAAGAACAGTTGGGAGGAGTCTAACCTCACAGAAGTCCCGTTCGGCCAAGACTGCATCGACGACGACGTGATCGCCGTCCCCGTCCCCGTCCTGCCGGATTTCCCCGGCCTGACTCCCCGGGTGCTTGGCGTGACTGCGGTGGCCCGCGGGAGTCGCCTGGCCATCTCAGAGGAACCACTATGTGGCGTGTGGCGTGAAGGCGGCCAGCCTGAATCCCACTCCTTGCACGTCCTCTGCTTCGTCGATCACGAGACGGGGGCGCGTAGAGTGGAGGTGCAGACGACCATGGCGAACCTCTGCTTCTGCGAGGTGGTGAAGATGGACGAGGGGGGCCAGACAGGGGGCCTGTACGAAGGAAAGGCACACCTGTCTGAGCCATATGTACGCGACAAGGATCTGCAAAGTGTCGAAGGGATCGCCGGGTGGGGCAGAAGGGATGTCCCGGTGCGGCTGCGTCGGACGGGAGAGGATCAGTTTGAGCTCTCCTTCCGTCGCCGCACCGGGGGATTCATCACATTCGTTTTTGAGCGGGTGGCCTTCCCGCCAAATGTCAACGGGCAGCAGCAGGGGGAGGCCGCAGACGAGGAAGGGGGAGGGGAAGGGGAAGGGGGAGAGGAGGATGACGCGATGGCGGGGGGTGACAATTAGGGTGAGGAGGGGCATGAAGAGCAGCCGCCCATGGTGTGCGGGTAGGTCTGCTTGGGACTCGTTTTCTATCTTCCTAAGCTGTGGTGTTTTTTATCTATTCATTCATCCAATCATCTGCATGTGCGTCTGTGCCGTTGTGCGGTGGCCGTATGTATGGCGATCATGTCTGTCTGTCTGATCTTTTTGAAGTCGGCTGCTGAGAGCAATGCCGGGCTGGTGGGTGGCTGGTTGGACAGTGTCTGTTGTGCTGAATGGTTGCGTTGATGTATCTGACGGATTGATGTCCATGGGGGAGAGTTTGTGCCGTTGTGTGGTGCCGCACCTAGACCTACAGACATATATGGAAATAGCTGGGTCGGTCGATACGTATACGTATACGTACGTACGTGCGTAGGGCGGACTGAGTCACGAACACACAGACAACCAAACGTCGAGCGTTTTTTCGCTGGCCGTCAATTACCGATTTGACTGAGTGACTGATCGGATCAATTAATCGCAGCCTCGCATCACAGCTGAGTGAGTGAGTTGAGTGGCGATGTCTGTCACGACGGCCACGTTGATCACAGTGCTCCTTTGCCTCGCCGCCGCCACCAATGCCAAGGCTGCAGGCACACAGCAATCACACACACACAAACAGACAGTCACCCACGTGTCTCTCTCTCTCTGTGTGTGTGTTGGACGGCAGAGAGAGCCGCATCATCATCTCTGCGCCAGGGCACCCACGTCCGGCTGATCCCTCAGCTGACATCGGCCCTCTTCGGCCCCACGCCAGCCGCACAGCCCACGCCAGCCGCCCCTGCAGCCGCCACGCTGCCGCCCACACCCATGGCCACACACATCGAAAGTAACCAAACAAACACTCATTGGCTGTCTCCCTGTCTGTCTGCTTGGATTGGGTCAATCGATCGGTCAGCGTTCCACAAGGAGCGGCTGCATGACGAGATTCAGGAACTCGCAGCCGAAAACGCCAAAAAGTCAGTCACTCACTCACTCAACACACACGAGGACACACTGAATGGCTCTCTCTGTGTGTGTCACTGATTGGTTGATGAGTGCAGGCAGGAGATCATCCAGAAACTCAGTGAGCCCACACACTAACAACACACGCACACACACACACACACACATCGATGTGTCTGTGTGTGCAGAGGAGGAGCCGGTCGGGTCGTCGCCGTTGGGCAAACTGGCATACCAAACATACCTCTCCAAGGCAACACACACACACACACACACACACATACAAGGGAGACACACGAAGAGAGATTCCCATGTCTGTGTGTCTGTGTGTCGATTGGTTGGTTGACTGACTGGCAGCAACTCGCCCGTCTGCAATATCTCCACAACCGACTCCGCGAAGAGTCATAAGACACACAGACACACAACAAGGACAGCAGCTGATGAGTGTGTGTGTCTGCGTGTGATGTGTGCAGGTGGGCCAAGGTGGATCCGGCAAAGGCAGCAGCCGACATCGTGTTGGTCGGAGAGAACCAGGTCAGCCAGATTCAGACAGACAGACACATGTGGATGTGTGTTTTGCGTGTGTGGTTAGTTGGAGTATCGAACGAGGCATGAGCGTGAGATGCAGGACAGACAAGTCGCTGACGACACAAAATGATCAACGGACGAACTGAGAGTGAAGTTGTGAGTGGATTGATGGGTGCAATGCATGACAGACACAGAGGAACAAACAGCGCACGTTACAAACAGGTCATCAGTCTACACGTGCACACCTATCTCAATCAGCCGGAGAGCCATACAAGTCGCAAGCAGCCCAGAGGGCACACACAGGTCCTATAAATAATCAGCCGCAAAACCAATGCGTGTCACAATGCATCTGGGTGCCGTTTGCACACACTGATCAACCACGATAAACCATGCACGAGAAGTCTCTGCCTGCCTGCCTGCCTGTCTGCCTGCCTGCCTGTTTGGCTGGCTGCCCGTGCCACACAATTTGCAAAGACACGCACAGCCGATCGAGCACACCATTCATCAATACCGATGTACTGGCCCTCGACTCATCTACCTACTTATGTCGGGTGTCAAACACATAATGGACACCATGGTCGCCAGTCGATTGGTCTGGAGTCCCCGTCTGCGGCTGCAGTTGCGGTCTTCCAATCACATACGGTGCGACTCCGTTCTGCTGGTAAGCCATGACAGCCGGCGGGGGAAGGTCATCCTTGAAGCCTCGGGCCCTCAGCACGTGTCTGTATTCCTGCAGGACGGTGCACGGCATACACCAATAGACGCAGCAGCAGTCGCCGCAGCCATCGGTTGCTGCGATGCCGTAATATCTTACAGACAGACAGACAGACAGACAGACAGACCAGTATTGTGTCAGTGAGTCATCCATCGGGTCCCTCCCAGCACTGCAGCCGGCCATCCGCCTGCGTACCTCCTCAGTTTGGTTCGATAGACAAGAAAAACGATGAAGGCGACAACGCTGCCGACTACCGCGACCGGCCAGAACACCGTGATTTTCGAGCTAGGCCTGTCCTCGGGGTGGACGCTCTCGTCGTTGAGGTAGGACTCGTTGGTGTTCAAGACATGGACCCAGTAGTAGGGGTAGACATGCTCCAATATCGTCGTGAGCAAGCCGCCGGTGAGCATGACGGCGCTGAAGACCAGGACGCCAGCCCAGAGCGGCAGCAGCTTCACCTGTGCCAACGGCCACGCCTGCACACGCGCATGTTAAGGAGAGAGATAAGGAGAGGGAGATCCGTGAATAAGATGGGATTAAGGCACTCCCTCTCCTCTCGGTGCCTGCATGCCCTGCATATCTTCACCTTGAGGAAGGCGTAGACGGGCGACAAGCAGAGCCCCACCGTTCCCAGAATACAGGACGGTCCGTCGGAGAAACAGTCACAGATGCCATCGCTCCACTGACCTGAATGAGGGAACCATAACAAAGAATAGCCAGATAGACAGACAGACAGACACCCGCATCGATGTCCGGCCGCACTCACCTTTCCACAATTCATCTCGCGTCGAATCCCCGACGGGCGGACCTGTCACAAAGGGAGCGGGCAGCTGACGCGTACGAGGCTCCCTGTCTGCTGACATGTCGTCCTCGGGCAGGAGAAAAGATGCGTTCGTGCCGCTGAGATCTTGCACGCACAGCCTCTGAGACGGTCCAGACGCAAATGGCGGGAACGCGACAGCTCTCTCATCTCTCCGTCCTCCTGGTCCAAGGGTAAGGTTTACAAACCCTGCACTTTTGACCCCACCATAGCACGCGCTGAGAAATCTCGAGAGGCTGCCTGCCAAAGCATTCAATGCAACAAGCCTCTGTCTCTCTCTGGCTGCATGTTCGCCCGCCGATGCATAATCTGTACATCAATGCACCGACACACTGACGCACACCCACCCGTACGGACGTCTCTCTCTCTGCCTGCACGCCTCCGCTTCCCCGTCCCACCTCCTCTCTCCGACACCGCACCAAAGCAGACGACGCACTGCCCTTCCCGCCCGTTCGTTAGTCACAGGCGTGTGTGTGTCTGCGGTCAGCCTCTCTCCAGGTGGAATCGGTGAGCCCTCTGCAGGAACTCATTCAGCACGCCCATGTCGTACCACCCAGAACGGGCACTCTGAAAAACAAACACTGTGGCATGTGGGCAGTGGGCCGCCCGCCTTACTCACCGTCTGCATCTCGGGCGCCTCCCGCAGCAGCTGCAGAACTCGCGACGCCAAAAGAGAGCTCTCGTAACCCTGCACACGACAGACATCCATGGAAGCTGCTGCATGGCGCGAGCCAGCTGCTGAGGCGTCAGTCGTCAGTCACCTTCTTTCTGCTGTAATCGAGCCACAGGTCGTCCATGAAGTGGTGCAGACTCTGACTGCCAAACAACCTGACACACAGACACGCACACAATGGAGAGAGGCAGACTCACTTCTGCTGCCGACTGGCTGCATGGTTGTCTGGCACTCGTGTGTACCTATCGACAAGTGGTGGTGGTGGTGGCAGCTGTGGCGGGGGCCGTGTGTGTGAGTGGGAGGTCAGGAGGTCCACCTTGTTGGCCACTATCAGGATCGGACACCGGCCGCTCAACAGACACTCAGCTGGATGCAGTTGGTTGACGACGACCACACGCCACACAGATCAACACAACGCGAGATACATGGGTCCACAGGCAGGCTTGTGCGTTGCCTACCTGTCGTCGGATTCTCCACGTCAGGCCCGTCATCACTGCAGTGATTGGATCAGACAGGAAAGGACGAGAGGGACAAGAATCCACACACACACACACACACACGTGTCTGGGTGTGCCTTCCATGGACTGACCTTTCGGCAGCAGCGGGGCCTGGCTGCTCATCCGGGGCGACTTTATCCCTGTTGGCTTCGCCGTGCCAGAATGCCCGTGATGGCGGTGCGGCCCTCTGGCAGACCTCCATCAGCCACTGGCTCAGCTTGCGATACGACTTGAGGTTTGACACATCATACGCCAACAACACACCTGCACCACACAAACCAAACAGCCACACATCCTCCCTCTGTCCGCCTCTGTGTGTGTGTGTGTGGTAGCCCCCGACTGACCGTCAAGCCCATCAAAGAAGACATTCCTCGCCCCAGCGTATGCCCTGGTGCCGCCCACATCCCAAAACTCTACCGGCACGCCGCCCTTGCCGCCGTCGGGGCCATCGCCAGACTCCAGCGGATGAATGCGCACGCTCACCCGACAGCCGCACGTCCACGACGCCACGGGCCGCCTGATCTCGGCTGACATCAGTGCCCCCGGGCTGCCAGCGAAGGGCGAAGGCGGGCCGCTGCTGGTGGAGATGCCGTTGTCGTTGGGGCAGAGGACGCGCAGCAGCTCTGTTTTGCCGACGGCCGCGTCGCCCAGGACGACTATCTTGACGCTCCTCGGGAGGGGGTCCAGCTGCTCCATTCCGATCAGGGGAGAGAGGTGCTCACCTGAATCGAATCCGCCAGATCAGTGGAGATCTTGGCCCTGCAGGTCTTGACGTGCGCTGCAGCAGCTCAGATCTCCCATCGGGGCAGCAGCGGTTTCAGCAAGACCGACAGGGTTCGAAACCCTGTCAGTCTAAGGGGAACTGGCGAGCTTCGAACGGTTTTCCTGCTCATTCATTTCATGGCTGCTGTGGTTGTAGGCGACGACGACAGGGCAAGCAGAAGAATCAATCCGCTCAGCCGCTCTCTTTTTCGTTCCATCTCATATGTATTGCTGACATTGCTGAGCCATCGGTCATGCCATGTGCGGTCCCAAGTGTTGGATTTCTCGTCCCACCCCATCAGCATCCCCTCCAACCGCACCCTCAAGGTCCTGCAGTACTACTACATCTACTCGCACCAAGACCTGCAGTCCCTCTCCACCTACCTCCCCACCCACCTCGCTCTCACCCTGGCCTCCGTCCTGCCGCCGCACAGCGAATCTGACTCCCACCCAGACAATGACAATGACATCAGACCAGGAGAGAAGCTCAGGAGGCTGGGACGGTGGCTCGGCGCTCTCCAGCAGCTGGTGTTCGGTCAGCACCAGCCGCCTGAGCTCGACGACGGGCGGCAGTCGCGCCGCCACCACTCGTCCAAGATCGATGTCGACATCGAGGATGTGTCATCCAAGGCTAAGAGTGCTAAGGGCAACGGGCGGGAGGCGGTCATCATCTTTGAGGGACTCCGGCTCGTCATGCCGACCGTGGAGCAGCCACAGCAGCAGACGGGGGACACCGGCAACGAGTCGTCGGCGGCGTCTGGGATGGCTGTGACTACCAGCGACTACCGGGGGTATGAGAGCATCGAGCTGACGCTGACCAAGTACAAAGACTTCTGGGACCAGGTCAACCCGCACAAGTTTTGCTGCAGCCCCAAGGACGTCAGCAACCACCCGGACGTCTGTGCGAGGCAGGACACGCTCATGAAGGTGCAGCACCACTCACACCCACACCACGGCAAGGAACGCCATCACCACGACCCTGGCACCAACAAGGCCCTGTTCAGCCACGTGACGCGGCTGCCTGCGGACGAAAGTGAGCTGCCGCCTCGCGAGAAGCACCTGATTCGCGAGAGTGGCGTGTACATGCTGGCCTTCAGCAACTGTGGCGACAAGTCAGGCCTGGTCTACCTCCCCCTCCCCTCGGCGGCTGTCGATGGCACACAGCCACAGACCACAAGAGGCAGCAACACCACCAGTGGCCCCAAGCCCACCACCCTCTCACCTGTGACCACCCATCCCATCTCGGCAAACGCCCCCCTGACCCAGTCGGCATACCCCACACAGCTGCCCGTCAAGCTCTCCGGGCGAGTGATAGTGCGGAACCCCTATGGCTATCTGCCGGGCATTGAGTACCCCAAGCTCGTGTTCTACGGGTGGCTGACGGGCGGCTACCTGCTGCTGTTGCTCGTCTGGGTCATGGCGTCGGCGAGGTACTGGCGTGAGCTGATCATGCTGCAGAACTGCATTGGGGGCGTGATCTTGCTGGGGTTCCTGGAGTGCTTCTTCTGGTACTGGCTGTACAGCGACTGGAACCAGCGGGGCGTGAGGGGGTTTGGGCTGTTCTTCGTGTCGCTGCTGCTGTCTGTGACCAAGAACGTGTTCAGCTACATGCTGGTGCTGGTGGCGAGTCTGGGGTGGGGCGTGACGAGACCGACGCTTGACAACGGGACGGTGTGCAGGGTACAGGTGATCGTAATCTTGTATATTGTCCTGGACACCATCAAGTAACTTAGTAACAGAGAGACGGAGAGAGAGAGAGAGAGAGAGAGACCAGAATACGAGGAAAGGCATGGCGTCTGTGTGTGTGTGTGTGTGTGGTTGGTTCTTGTGTTGTGTTGTGTTGTGTAGGGAGCTGATACTGTCGTTGAGTCGGCACTCATACCACCTGTCGTCGGTGATCATCATGTTCTGCTTTGTGCCCGTGGCCCTCCTCAACCTCATTATCTTCTACTGGACCTTCGCCGCACTCACCTCGCTCATCAAGGTACACACAGCACGGCAGACACACAGAGAGGGAGGGTGCACACCACACACGTCTGTTTGTGTGTCTCTGTGTGTGTGCAGAAGTTGCGCTATCGCCGTCAGCACGAGAAGCTGGCCTTGTTTTGGCGGCTGTGTACAGTGCTCGTGATATCAGTCGCGTGTGCAGCCATCAACCTACTCTACTCCTTCTACGCCTTCTCACAGGTCAGGTACACACGGAAGACACTCACTCACTCTATGAAGAATGTGTGTGTGTGTGTGTGTGTCTCTGCCCCTCTGCCCCAGAACATCCGTCTGTACTGGCGGAGTGAGTGGTGGTTCACCGATGGTGTCAACCACCTCATCTTCGTTTCGGTCCTGGTCTGCATCATGTACCTCTGGGCACCGCACAAGAACTCACAGAGGTCCGTTCCCTTGACCAAAGAGACGCCATCCGTCCCTCAGAGCTTCAGTGAATGAGTGGTGGCCTTTGACCTCGTTAGGTATGCCTATTCCCACGAAGTCCCCGCAGACGACCCAGAAGAAGCAGCAAAGGTAGGTACCTTACCACGACTCCCCCCACTACACACCTTTCTGTCTGTCTCCTGTGCCGCTCTCTCACCACAGGACGACCCCCGCGCCGTGCACGCGTCGGCCCCCCACACGACCAGCAAGGACGACATGGACATGGCGGCCATGAGTGACAGCACCCCCATGTGTCAGTGCATCGACATCGGCCAGGCCGAGACGCCGCGATCGGGAGAGGACGACATGAACCTCGACCACGATGAGTATGACTATGACGTTGACGATGGCCGGGAGGAGGGCAACCATGAGCCGGGCCGTGGGAGGCAGGTTAACGGGCGGCCGGAGCCGAAGCAGGTGCGCATATGCGAAGACCTGTCTCCCCAGCTCATGACGTGTGCACCGTGTGTTGTGCGATGTGGTGTTGTCTATCATCAGGCGCGTGTGAAGCCCCTCGTCCCTCCGGCTCCCACTCCCGCCTCAGCCAGCGACCCCCCATCAGCAGCAGCAGCAGCCGCAGGAAGGGCGGCCAAGGACGGCATGATGGCCAGCAGCACCACCAAGTCCATGCCCGCGCCTAGCCCGCTGTGTGTGCCGGCGAGCGTGTCGACTGACGACCTCGGCGAGCCTGTGAGCCCGCCTCCCCAGGGCGAGGGGTCCAACGGGTACCCATACAGCTACAATGCACACGCGTGGAACGACAAGACGCTGAGAAACAAGCCAAGTCGGCCGAGGGAGGAGGTGCACTGAGGGAGGGAGGGAGGGAGGGATGGGCGGACGGACGGATGCGCGGGGAAGGGAGGGAGGGAGGGATGTCGATAGTATTGACCTACTGTCAGACACATCAGACAGGGCGGGCGGGGCCACAGCGACTGCGCGCTCCCCGCAAAGTTCTTGGCTAGCAAAGCCAAGGAAACAAACACCCACATTTGGTTGCCTTGAAACGGTGTCTAGGATGCGTTACAATTCAATACTCTTGAATTTACAGCGGGGTCTTGGGGGCGTCTCTCTGTGAGTCCAGCTGACACTGGTCATGTCGCTCTCCAGCTGCTTCCTCTCCATTTCTCTCATTCTCTTGGTGGCATGCGTCCCCCGTGGTGCGTCAGCCGCCGACCTCAGTCACGGCCTTGGGCAGCCGAAGTACGACAAACAGCAGCTCCTCGATGCCTCCCTGAGGTTGATGGACCTCGCAGACGAGGCCAAGAAGGCGCTGGAGGAGGTCATGGACATTGCAGGCCTGAACAAAGCCCCCAATGCCGCAGAGAAACAGACAGCGAAAGGCCAGGCGACACAGGGCTTGATGGTGAGAAGGATTCTATGTAGGTCGATGACATGCTCCCCAGCTGCTGCGTGCCTCTGCCCGTGGTCCGTCAGGAGGCCCAGGAACTGTACCGCAAGGCCTACAAAGAAGCCCACGCTGCCAAAGTCTCCAGCTACGGGATCTCTGTGACGGATGCCCACCTCGCCGAAGCGCAGGAGCACCTCGACAAGGCCAACAGCCTCTACAAGCGGGCGACCGACAAGGCAGGACAGACGACACACGAGGCGTTCACCCGTCTCTACCACGATAACGTGCCGCCAGGTCTGGTGACGGCACTCGATGCGCTGTCGTCGACTGCCAGTGCGGCAAAGGGCTTCTGCTCCATGGCCGCTGGGGCCGCCGCTGATGCTGCCGAAAAGCTGGTGCCCGAGAGCGTCAAGGGCGCCTGCACCCGGCTGTACGACCAGGCCTGGGACTGGTGGCACAAGTAGCAGCAGAAAGAAACAAGCAACGGGATCGACCCGGACAGTCAGTCCATGAGCATGCATGGCTCTTCTGTCTTGCATGGCGTGGTGTCGGTTGGCATGGCAGCCTTCAAAGTGACTGAGGACAGGGAGGGGACGGACACACGAGACAATCGGGATACACTGAATGCAGCGCAATGCTCCTTCACGAACTAAATGGTCTCTCGTCCGTCATAAATCACCCACACCCACCACCAGCACCACACCGTACAGAAAGACTCCACGTGCTGTGCCTTTCCTAAATCGTCTCATTCAATCGTCCGTGTGTGCAGCGTGGGCACAGACCTCACCAAGCAGCCGTGCAGGCAGTGGAAAACACCCGCTCTGTCACGATGCTTCCACTACCTACATGTGTCCTCAGTGAGGCCTCAACGCCACACACGAGACACGCACGACCACGACAGACAGACCACCCTACATTTACCACACACACACCTCTACAGTACACAATGCACATCATGCGAGCAGCAGCAGCACGCTCATTCGTCAGCTGGCCTGTGCAGCAACAGCAGCAGGGGCAGCAGCGTCTTGTGTGTGGTCGTGCGCGGGCAAGGCTCGGTGGATGGTGAAGGGGGGCACGGGGGGATCTTTGGCCTTGCCACGAGGGACAATCACCTGGCCAGCCACACACCACACCACACCACACCACACCACAGCACAGCGTAGCACACACACACACACACACGGACGGACCGGTGGCTTGCGGGCCGTTTACCTGAGGGATACCCCAGTGGGGATGGATGGCCCCGGGGTACACGTACAGCTTCCTGCACCCACGACACACACACGCGGAGGAAGACGACACACGCACATCACATCCATCCATCTTGGCGGGCTTGGCTCTTTCTTCTCTGTCTGTCTGCGGCCCACTGACTTGTATCTGACGTTGCGGAGACCGTTGCAGGGCAGCATCCGCTTGACGGCAAAGTTCAACTGAATCAATCAACCCCACACACACAAACAAAGGGACAAGTTAAGTCAAGTCAGGCCAGGCCATGGAGGAATGTGTCCCGTCCTCCCCATGCCCTTGTCGAGGGAGGTAGGTAGGTACTTACCACCATGGACGGGTTTCTGTACATCATGGTTTTGGCCGTCATGATCTTGGGACCGCGGGAATGAGCTGCATGGTGAGAGCAAGGGACAGAAAAGGTAAGGTGGGTTGGATGAGCCCGATGAGTGGCTTCTTCTGTCCCTTGCTGACTTCTTCTGTTGAATTTGTATGCCTTGGTGTCCCACATGTGGCCGCGCAGGGTGACGTGGATGGCATTGACCACTATCACACTGTCACCTGGAGGCACATATGAAATGAATTGAATGACGCGAATGACGCCCACAGACAGACAGACAGACAGATGCACACACAACACACGTGTTCTAGGTCGGTACACTACACCGCCCCGACCCACCTGTGATGATATTGGGGTTATAGTCGACTTTGTGTTTGCCCATCAGCAGCTTCGCCACCCTCATCGCCACACTGCCCACCGTCTGCACACAACCAACACAACCAACACCAACACCCATACCACACCCACATTGATTGCAATGAATGGAACACACAGGCAGGGCCTGTCCGTGGTGTGTTGTGTGCCTCACCTTGCCGGCGGCATCGATGACGTGCCAGATGCCCCTGTCGTCGTCCATGTAGGTCACCGTCTTGAGCGACACGTGAGGCTTGGCGTCGGGCGCGATGGTCGGCATGTTGTGGTCCTTGTACGGCTGCGACGTCCTAAACACACACACACACACACACACACACACCACAGCAGGCAATGCATGAACGCATCTTTAGCTGTGTGTGCGGCGTGTGTCAGGGTAATCTGGTGTACCATTGGACTTTGGCGAATGGGTTGATTTCCTTGAAGTGGTAGCTGGATGGCGCGTACTTGGCCCACCGGTTGAAGAGGAAGGGGGCATGGTGTGCTCGACTCAGATGCGCCATCGCCAAAGAGCGACCTAGAGAGCGACGGTGACAAAGACCGCTGGATCACTGCCTTATCATCACATCAGCAGCAAAAGCACTAGATCTGGGTCCATCCTTCACAGCTCGTCACCCTCGTCGCCCCGTGGGCCTTTCGTCGTCCGGACTTTCGAATTCCACCAAGCTCGCATGTGAATAGCTCGCATGTCCCAGCCAGGACTTCCATCGCAAAGGACCAATCTCAGGCACCACTATTTCATCATTCCCACTGATCCTTGAGGAGCAGGACGGCTCAGGCGATAGATGAGATGAGTGAAGATCTAGACGGCTCGGTGACAGGGAGGAAGGACAATGAGTGTGGCGGCGGTTGCTGCTGCTCTCGCCTGCTCAGCGAGTGCATCGGGCAGGGCAGCTGGAGGGCCATTGGGTGCGAGTCAGTCTGGCGCTGGTTCCCCACGCTCAAGTACCGCTTTGCAGACCCCGAGATGGAGAGGAAATACCTGCTGTCGGCACACGAAGACTTCTGTGACTGCTTCAAGTCGATTGGCATCCTTGTCGCCCTGGTGGGTGGGCATGACACACACACACGCATTCATTCAGCGTCGACAAGCACCCGTCACACTAGCTGTTATGTTCGTGTGCCTCTCTCTGTGCGTGTGTCATTCAGATCCACCTTGTGTGGTTTGCCCTGCGCCTGATCTCCAAGTTTGACACCTTTCTCATAATGGTCAGTGAGTCAGTGAGTCGGCCACTCACTCTGGGCAGAGAGGACCGGTGTGCATCACGCCTGTGTGCCTCTGTCTGTCTGCCTGTCCGTCTGGTTCCCTTCGATGGCTTCAGGTCACCCGCTCCACCATATTCATCAGCTTCTCTCTGATGGCCGTCCTCCACCTGCTGCTCGGCAAACGGCTCAAGACCCTCTACGTCACGCGGCTGGCGCGGAACAAGGCGACATCAGTGCAGGAGCGCACCCTGCAGTACAACCGCATCGAGTGGAACCTGACCTTCGCTCTGTTCTTTTTGCTGGCCGGCGCGGCGGCCTTCCAGGGCAGATGGACGTACAAAGAGGATGAGGGCTTCGTGTGGGCCATGGGCCCGATGCGCTTCCAGCGGTACCAGTTCGCCCCCTTCGCACAGACGTACCTGCTGTTCGCCATATGGCTCATCATCAAGTGCCACTCCTTCGAGACGTCCTGCCTGATCCTCTTGCACTTTGTGGTCGGGATGGGGCTGTGCTACTGGGAGATGGGCTTCAACCCACATATGGGGTGGGCCTTCGCCGGTAAGCCAGTCTATCACACACACACACACACACACACTCGCTCGGCCGCACACCCATGTGCTTGTGTGTTGTGTGTGTGTGCAGTCTTGTGCATCTTGTTTGCCGTGGGCAGCCGGCAGATGGAGCTCGTCTCGCGCTCTGCACTCTTCCAGAAGGAGCAGGCCCTCCGCGAGAAGGAGCAGAAGTCTCGGCTGCTGGAGGGGTTCGCCTCGATGATCGGGGTCGCTGCATGGTCAGCCACCCAGACAGACAGACAGACAGCAAACAGAGAGCGCATGGACACACACACACTTTTGCATGGGGGCCATTTTTCCATCCGTTGTCTGGTCCGCAGGGAGTGGGACACGACCAAGCGGCCTGACACCTGCTACCAGACTAAGATCATCGAGGTCCTCACCGGCCGCCCGGCGGTCTACAAGCCACCACCAGAAACGTCGTCCACCGCCCCGACCACACCCAAGCCAGCATCGGAGACCTCAAAGGGCACCAGCGGCTCAGCCAGGAGCAGGTGGCTGTGCCTTTCGCACTGGTGGCCGCGGTTACGCAAGTGGCGTCTCATGAGGCCCAACAAGCGCAGGAGCCCCTCCTCCTTCTTGAACCTGTTCAAGGCCGCTGCAAGGACGCCCACCAAGGAGCAGTGCATGCCGCCTCGTTCCTCCACGCCGCAGCTATCCACTGATGCAGCGACCACCCGAGACGACAGCTCCCTGCCGGTGGTGTGTGTGGAGGGGCAGCAGCCGTCCTCCCCGAGGCACTCGAGGCACTCGGACATGGTGGGCATCATCCCTTTACGGCCGATGAGCGAGGCGGCCGACGTCAACATGCACGTGCCGTCGGAGACTACCACAGAGGACGGCTGCTTCTACTCCTGCAGCGGCATGATCGAGCGAGACCAGAACCAGACTGGTTACATGTTGCCGGCCGCCGTCCACCAGCACCAGAGGCGCATTCTGCCCCCATCTGTGAGGATCTTTCGCGAGCGTGTTGCGGAGGAGCCGTGTCAGCTGCTGGTGCAGATTGATAGAGAGGACAGCCGGGAGGGGGAGGAAGGATTCTTCTCGGGCTTCTGGACGCAGTTCGTGGTCGGCTCCGAGGGCAAGACCAAGATCAACGACGCCATCCGCAAGTGTGCCGACGAGGGGAGGGCCTTCGAAGTGGAGGTACATCCATCCATCCATCCATGTGTGTGTCTGCCATGCGCTGTGTGCGTCCATGCAGCTGATGTACGAGCGCAGCGACGGCAAGTGTCGGTGGTTCAGGTGTGCCGGGCGGAAGGAGAGCGACACATCGCCCATCGTCTACGGCTTTATCCAGGATGTCACGGACCGCCGCTGTGTCGAGTCGCGCGACCGACAGCTGCTCTCGCGCTACATGAAGACCACCGACACGCTGCTCGAGGCGACCGCTCTGATCGACATCCAGGAGGAGGTCCTCATCGAGTCCAGCTCACTCCTCAATCTGTGGCAGCAGCGCGTCCTTGAAGGTCAGGCAGTGTGTGTGTATGTGTCAGGCAGCCATACATACCTGCAGGGACTTACACACGAGCTCCTGTCTCTGTGTGTGCGGTGTGGTGTGGTGTGGTGTGGTGTTGGTGCAGGTGTGCCGCTTGCGCAGCTGTTCGACCGTGACACGCTGCGGCGGCTTAAGGCCGTCAAGGCCGAGGACCAGGAGCCTCTGCAGGCCAACGTGCGGCTGCTCAGACAGCCTGACAGACAGGCTGCTGAGGTAGGTGAGAGGGCAGGGCAGACACACGCACACCCCAACCAACCAGCCAACCCATGCCATGTGCGCTGTCTGGCTCGCTCCCTCCCTCCGTCCGCTTGTCAGTGTCACATTTTTGCCTGGGCCGAGGACGACGATCCTGCGCTGGTGTTTGTCGGTTTCCGGGATTTCCTATTCTACGGCCCGCCCTTCGAGCCGATCTCCAGCGGGGTCCCGCAGCCCAACAGCACGCCTCCCGGCATGCCGGGTCATTCAGACACGCGGACACTGCCACCAACTGAGTGGTCCACAGAGGAGGAAGCGGACGCACCAGGTGAGTTTGCAAAGACAGCACACACACAGACAGAGACAGGGAGAGAGGCTCATGGCTGTGTGTGGTGTGGATGGATGGATGGATCAGAGGTGGTGTGCCAAGAAGAGATGGGCGAGACGGACGAGCCATCGCTGCCGCCTCTGGCGCCCACCCGGCTGCCATCGCCGATGTCTGACGGCTACTGGGGGAGGGAGCGCCGCATCGTCGTCAGCAATGACAGTGGCAATGCTGGCGGCGACTGCATGCATCCCCATGAGGACGCCACCATCTCTGTGAGTGTGCCTGAGCTGCACGGTGGGGCGTGGTGGGGCGAGTATGGGCATGGCCACGGGCATGGCCCGCCTGACGTGCTGCCACCCTCCTACTCGGATGGCGGCGTGTGAGTGTAGCTAGCTAGTGTATCCCACCTCTGCTCACTCGTCCGTCCCTACGGTCGGGAGGGAGGGAGGGAGTATTCATGTTGCTCAGGGAGCGGAGGGGTGGGAGGGGAAGTCAGTCAGTCAATCTCGACTGAATGCGGTGTAAGTAAGGTCTTGGCTGGTTGCGTGCGTGTTCACGTGTAGGCTCTCGCTTTTAGTGTAGCCAAGCAGACAGGCAGACGGACGGACAGACGGACAGACAGACAGGTAGGTAGACACACCGACCGCAGTACGCAAGGCCTTGCGCGCCCCACCTTCACACTCGTCCTTTCAACTGAGATGGTGGTATGGGGGTGCGCACGTAGACTTTGTTCCTCTGATGTCTGCACGCCCTCTTTTTGTCTGGCATGTATGAGGCATTGCTGTGGTTGGCTTTGCACGGTGTGTGAGTCCTAAACACAAGGACGGGCAGCTTTCGTGCAACGCGCGGAGGGGAGGGGAGGGGAGGGCCGCACCGCATCCACCGAAGTGGTCAAAGAAAGGACTTACGTGGGGCATATACAGACAGACAGACAGACAGGCAGACATACATGCCTTTAAACCATCGTAGGATTTTTTACCTGTCTGTCTGTCTGTCTGTCTGCCTGTCTGACTGAGATGTGAGGGTGAGGGTGAGGGTGAGGGTGTGTGTACAGTACACAGACTGTGGTGTGTACATGTACACACGCCTGGCATGGCATGGCATGGCATGCGTGTTGCGGGTATGAGATCAATCGCTCCCTATACACATGACTGACATACGTATGCACGTGACTGACGTACCTGCATGGCTCAAGAGGAAAGGCAAGGACAGGAAAGGCAGGGCAAGGAGGGCCATTTCTGATATGAGGCACATGCATCCCTCATATCGGAAATCCCCTCCCTCCCTCCCTCCCTCCCTCCCTCTCTGATCGTTGTTTTGTGCGCGTGTGTCAGGCTCTTTGCTGCATGCTGCGATTGGTTGGTGTACTCCGTGACTGCATGTAGAGGGCGAGGGTCGGCTTCATATGGCCTGCCACTGGAGTGTCTTTTTGAAACACTGATGTCGACCACGGGGATGGGTGATGTATGTTATGTACTTGGCGAGAGCCTCGACCAGTGGTTGGCTGAGCTGCCCGCTGCTACATGTAGTAGCGCAAGCATTTCCTTGCATGCCATGCCATGCCATGCCATGTGTTTTTATGGATACGTCGGAACATGAGCGAAACACTGAAGAGTCATCCGGTTAAGTGTTGGGATGTGTGACAGTTAGGACGACCAAGAGCGGAAGAAACAAAGCAGCTCTGAGCCGGAAACATGTGCCTTTTGCAGCCTGTCCATGTTGTAAATTCGTCCTTTCTGGGGGCGCCCCCAGCAAGGTCGCCAAAAGCCGTACCAAAAGCGTGTGAAGAGCAAAGAAGCAATCAACGATGCAGCAAACGATGAGAAGCCGACCAGCCGCTAAGGCATCAGCGTACCCTCAGTCAAGGGTGCCGAGCCCACGCGCCAGTCCACGTACGTCACGTGTGTAACCTTCCCCTCATTCACAGTGACTGACTGACTGCAGTTGCATGTGCCTCACTCTTCTCATCGCTCATGTTTCTTAATTCGGTCGGTGGTTTGCAGGCGCATCTGCCAGTGCAGTGCGAGGGGAGCTCGCCTCGCTGCGTGAGAGGGAGAAGGTCAGGCGGGACCAGACCAGGGAGGGCCGACGGCCACCAACCTTGGTGGAACTGCACCGCAGCCTGTAAGTAAGAGATGAGCCAAGTGTCCTGCACGTGCACCCCGACGGTTGGTTCACCTGCCTGTCTCCCCTCACAGACATAAGGAGCCACCGAAGGGCTCCCTCGCCCGCCCACCTCTGGACCTCCCACCGTGGCAAAGGCACCAGCTAACCGCGGCGGAGAACATCCTCACTGCCCACAGAGAGAGGGCTGGCGGTCGGGGCAACGGCAAGCGGAGGAAACACCGACAAACCTTTGTGAAAGAGGACCCGAATGAGGAGGAGCTGAGACGGCTGCGTCAGATCGAGAGGGAGCGGAGGAGACGGCAGGAGGCCGCCTACAGACAGCAGGACCAGGCCAGGGCCGTGACTCAGAAGAAGCCGGGCATCGATCTGGTGGGTCTCTATGAGAACCCGCACCGACAGCCACCCCCCGGCAGCCTTGCAAGGCCAGCACTGCCACCCCCCATTTGGGAGTTGGTGGGCCTGCGACAGATGGAGTCATTCCTCCAACGGAAGCTGTGATCGATCACGGTGATCGAGCAGCCAGTGGGTGAGCAGGGAAGACAGAGACGTGACCCACGTGTGCAAGGATGTCTCAGCTCGGTGCTGTTGTGTCTGCTCTCAGATGTGGGCGAATGGATGCATCGGGAGCCGTCCACAAGCATCAAGCGTCGAGGGGAGGGGAGAAGGAGGGAGTGGAGAGGAGGGTCACCGTGAGGGAGGGGAGGGGAGGGGAGGCGTTGCTGTGTCGCAGCATCACCATCTATCGCAGCCAGTCTACAGCGGAAACCTGTTGGAGACAGGGAGGGCTTGCAGACGTCTACTACCTATGTGTGTACAGGTGCTTTTGCAGTGGGGCGTACGTGCGATGTGGAGCATGTCTGTGCTCCATCGTAGGTAGGCCAGACAGAACAGACAGACAGAGATCACCATAGACAGGGGCTGTGTTTTCGGCCTCTCATCGAAGGTGTGTGCCTCGGCACCACACCACACCACACACACCACACCACACCACACCACCCACCTAAGGGCACTCACTCGCTGGGTCACTCACTAAGTGCGGGTCAGACAGACACACCGTACCGTCAGGGCTACCTATCGCCTCGCACCGCATCGTCCTGTGTCCTGATGAATGTGGCACCGCACACATTCATGTCGCGCAGTGCACATCAGGTCCCTAGGTGCTGTGCTGCCCATCTGAAGGACTCTTCGATATCACCTCAGCTGTCGTGTTTCGGCTGAAAGAGAAGGCATGGTTAGTGCTATGTATCTGCCTGTTCGCATGGTGTTGCATCTGCATAACGGATTCGCTCCATATGATTCATCCCTCGTGCAGTGCATGAATCGATCCCATTCATCTCATCATGCACATGGTCTATAGCTCCTCTCCCGCCTGGCTGACGCGGCACACTCTCTCTATTTCCTCTCTGTGTGTGGGGTTGCACATCGATGCCTCAACCAGATAAGCCCCAATCAGCGACCCACCGCAACACGACAGCACGCGCCTCTCGTCATCGGACAGCATCACCGACGCACCACTCGCATAGGCTTGCCGGCTTTTGGCACTCGTATGCGCCTCGCATACCCTACACACACACACACACAACAGCCAGCCAAGGGACGATCAACCGATGTATAATGAATGTTACACACACCTGGCCAGCGATGACACTGCATGGTCGGACAGGCCCAGGGCGCCGCCCACCGAGGCCATGGCTGCCTGAGGGCACGTGATCATGTTCTTGTAGGGCACCTCTGACACACTCACGCCCTGATCGATTGTCCCGTTCCTTGCGGCATGGATGGCCAGCGCCCACTCCAGCAGCCCCATGGCAAACAGCTCACCACACTCACTCGCCGTCCATTCGCTAGCCCCTGCTGCCATGGCCGATGCAGGACGGTAATCACGACGGATGAGCGACCAGAATGATGGCTGTGGCTGCTGAAGGTCGCCCAATCCATGGATGAGTGTGAGCAGCTGCCGCCATTTCCACAGGTCCTTGACGCCATACCATGCCGACGCGCCACCGCCCGCCACGCACAGCTGCCGGATGGACCGCGCCACCTCTATGCCGTCACGTACCACGTGAATCACACGCACGGGAGCCGCAAAGGACACTCGATCGTCCCGCTGGCTGCTGCTGATGCTGTCGTGAGGCTGCTGGAAGACCTTGGCCAGCAGGTCGATAGAGAAGCCATGCTCCGGAAACTTCTCCACCATCAGCACCCGACGAGCGTCAGGTGATTCGCCGCCTCTCGGTGATTGCTGGGCGTCGACAAGGGTTCGGATGACTCGCCGATAGCCCTGCCGGACTTGAGAGATGGCGTCAGCCGACAGTGGCGATGCGGAAAGCCCCCCCAGCCTCCCGCTTCTCTTAGGTGCCTCAGTGGACCAGACATCCATCGATGGGAAGGCCGGCAGCCACAGCTGCCGCGGCTCGTCCAGCACAAAGATGCCATCATAGCCTGCCGCCTCGTCACAGCCCAGCTGCGAGACGACCTCAGCCAGGAAAGTAGTGCCTGACCGACCACTGCCCACCAGGAATGCCATGGTCACCTCAATAGGAGGACCACCCCTGCAGCCACGTGCATCTCTTTGGGTGGTGTGTGTGAGGGGTGCGAGGCGGCCGGTGAGAAGGAAGCGGTGATAATCTCGCGGGCGAAAGGCAGATGGGTCGTAGGACAGCTGACGGAGGCCTCGTGTGCTGTCGGGGAAGCAGAAGGGCGGACGGAGAGGGGGGCAGAGGATATCCTCGAAGCACCGGACACCAGCTGTACCAGCTGACTCAGCATTCTTGTTGTCAGGGGCGATGGCGTTGCTGTGCCGCAGCTGGAAGGTCTGCAGCAGGTCAAGGGCTGTGTGCAGACCCCCGTCATCTGCCTCGCCATCGTCGCCATCCGGAGATCTTGCTGCACGGCTGATGGTTGTCTGTAAGGCCTCGATGGTCACACGAAGCTGAACACATTTGGCGCATTGACATTCACCCGAGTGGCCAGAACTGTGCTGCATCCTGCCAAAGTCGCTCACATCGAAGCGATCCAACTCATCTGCGAGCTTAAGCGGAAAGACGCCCGCTGTTCGAACCTCAGCAGAAAGACGTCCTAGCGCTGCTGTCGTGCGTGAGCATTGACAGCTTTCATCGATAATGGGGAAGCTGTCGAAGGACCGACGTGACATCTTCTATCGGCGTGCCAAAGAGGAAGGCTACCGAGCCCGGAGCGCCTACAAGCTGCTGCAGCTCGACGACCACTTCGACCTCTTCACGCCCGCCACTCGCCGCGTTGTGGACCTCTGCGCCGCGCCGGGCAGCTGGTCGCAGGTCTGCCGTGACAGATTGGTGAAGCGGCATTCTGATGCAGCAGCCAAGGGAGATGATGACGAGCATGGTCCGCCTCTTATTGTCTCGGTGGATCTGCAAGAGATGGCCCCATTAGATGGCGTGGTAACGCTGCAGGGTGACATCACGAGCCCCTCGACGGCGTCTGCCATCCTCTCCCACTTCGACGGCAATCTCGCCGACATGGTGCTGTGTGACGGGGCGCCCGACGTGACGGGCATGCACGACCTGGACGAGTACATCCAGTCGCAGCTTCTGCTGTCGGCCCTCCGCATCACCACCGCCCTCCTGCGGCCGGGCGGCACCATGGTGGCCAAGGTTTTTCGCGGCGAGAACGCTCCGTTGCTGTACGCGCAGCTGCAGGTGTTGTTCCGGCAGGTGAGCTGCTGCAAGCCCGCCAGCTCACGCAACTCCAGCTTCGAGGCCTTCGTCGTCTGCCGGGACTTCATCGGCCGCCAGCCAGAAGGCTCTGGTGGTGGCTGGGGCGGGGGATCATTCAACGACTGGGCTGAGGAGCTGATGCGGCAGGTGGACGCCAAGGGCGGCATGGCGGTGGTGCCGTTTGTGTCCTGTGGCGACCTGACTGGCGACCTTGACGCCGACCGCAACTATCCGCTGGATGAGGCTCATGAGTTCCGGCCGCCCGTGCAGCCGCCGCTGTCCGCCAGCTACCTGCCGCCGAGAGCAGCCAATGATGGGAAGCAGGCGGACGACGACGGCTGAGGCATTCACATGTGTCGTGGCATAGTGAAGGCAGGCAGGAATGCAGGCAGGCAGAAAGGCAGGGAAGGAGAGGTTGGGAGGGAGACCCTAGGAGAGTCAGACGGTGTCGATGACATTTGTCTGTGACCGTTGCATATTTGTGCACGTTTGTTTGGTGAGCTCCCAATGCGTCAAACTGGATTGAAAACGGGACCCTGGACAACGGGGACGCGGAGTGCGCGAGCTTGAGGAACAGAATAGAGAAGGGCCACTCGCGTCATCATGGACCGGCAGGGCATGGAGGGCATGCTGAACTGCTACATCGGCCGCAAGTGCGCCAAATGCCGCAAGCGTGTGGAGGCTCATGACGTCACGACGCTGCAGATCTGCAGCGGCTGCCACGAGGTGAGCCAGATGTGATTGCGTCCGTCATGCGTGTGATGTGTGATTGGCAAACACGCACTGAAACTGGACATTGGGTTTTCTTTCCGCCTGCAGGTTCGCTACTGCTCGGTTGAGTGCCAGCGGGCTCACTGGAAGGAGCACAAGAAGGTAGGCAAAGCACCGCAAGGTACACCAAGCTCATGAGCTTGTGTGTCCCTCTCTGTATGTCGTGGTGCAGATGTGCCGTGCGGCCCAGGAGAACTCCAAGCTGGTGCAAGAGGTGATGGCCGAGGTCAGCCGCGCCAACCGCAGTAATGAGCCGCGGAGCCTGGACATAGACTTGTGTGACCTGATGGGCTACCGTGAGGATGAGGGAGAGGATGTCGACAAGAGCCACGTGCTGTATCCCTACCCGACTCTCATCATCATGAAGCGCCGCAACTGCATCTGCTACACTTACGATCGGCTGTCGCCACTGACATGGATGCAGCAGTTCAATGCAAACTTCCATGAGCTCCTCAAGCCGGCCATACCAGAGGAGTTCGACAACAAGGCCAATTTGGTGACAGGTGAGGAAGGGGGGCCGTGAACGCAGAGATGGGGCGATTGTGTGTGTGTGTGTGTGTGAATGTCAGGTGTGTGCTGTTCCTGCGTCTGACCCGGCCAAGGGCGTCACCGTGGGCGACCTGGAGAAGGCCATCAGCAGCTTCAAGGATGGAGCATTCCTGGAGTGCGACCACACGAGAGGGGAGGAAAAGAGGGTCAAGCGCCTGCCCGGGCGGGGCATATCGCATTGTCGATGTTATGCGTCCTGGTCTGTTCAGCTTTTTGGACCTTGCCGATCGTGTGGCGTGTGGCCGTTATTCCCTCTTTTTCGGCTCGTGAAGGGGTTGAGGCAACAAATGATGAATGACGTCAGGTGAGGTCCGTGAGGATGGGAAGGCTGCCTGCCTGGCAGGTGGTCCCAGGTGATCGTTGTACGTTTGTCTCTCCCGTTGGCTTGTATGTAGGCACTTGCAGCAGGTGACACAGGTGCCTTTGCCTATCGGCTGGCGCCGAATGCGGCAGTGGCAGGGGGGGAACTAGGTTGAGTTGGTATGAATTGTAGGTCAAAGGTTGGAATCGGCTGGAGGGCTGGGTCGGTGGTACTTAGGGGATGATCTTTTATATGTCTGTGTATACGTATGGATGAACCGTATGGACACGTCCGTCTGTGAATCGGGCCATGTCATCAAAGTTTACGCTGGTCAAAATAATAGTACATGATTATGACGACACGTGCGTGTTTAGGCTGCTGGCCAAGCACGTCAATCTTTCGCGTCGTCTTGGCACTCTAGCCGTTGGGTGGGGGCGTGAGAGCTTGAGTGAACGATGTGGGGCGTGCCGGCTTCGCTGCTTCTCACCTTCGCCCTTCTGATCTGGCAATGTGAGGGGCAGCTTGAAGACGCCCAGGCAGAGCTGTGGGTGGAGCAGCCCAACACCCGCGGAGGCAACGACACTGACCTGGACGACGAAGAACAACGGGATCAGCCGAGTAAGGAGAAAGAGGGCAGACAGGCAGACTGGTAGCGCTTTCTGGCTGCTCGTGTGGTGGGTGTTGCCTGCAGGTGCTGTGGACGTCAAGTACGCGCAGCTGGTCAAGTCCATCACCGCCACAGCTCGCCGGCTCTTCAAGCCCGCCAACATTCAGCTCGACACAGTGCTCTATCGGCTGCACTTCCACCACGTCGAGCAGCGGATGTTCGACCTCCGACGGCAGGGCGTGTCGGCGGCACTCGCGAGGGACGACCCGTTCAGCGCCGACAACAGCGACACGCGGCTGACACTCGGCTTGACATTCCAGACCTATCGGGGCCTCTTCCGCAACGAGACCACGCTGCGGAAGTTCGCCAAAGACACCGCCACACAGGTGTCCTCGGAGGGGATTCTTGTGGACATGGCCATCGACGAGTCGCAGCTGGAACCGGGCGGCATCGAGGGCCTCATCTTGAAGCTCACTTCTTTGGGTCTCACGGGCATCAGCCGTTTTCAGCGAATCGTGTCTGCGAGGCTGCCAGTCGACAAGATCGCCTTCATCACGAGGATACAAGGGATTCGGGTGCTCCGGGCCTCACAAATGCGCGTCATCCCCACACGGCCGGGCGACCTGCCGGACGACCTGCCTCAGCGTCAGCAGAACAGCACCATTGCGCGTCCCCTGGCGGGCAAGGTGTGGTCACAAGGCGATCACGCGATGAACACAGACGCTGTGCGGAAGCTCTACGGGGTCGACGCCTCCAGGCTCTCGTGTAAGACCTGAGATGGACACAGAACGGCCAAGCCACTGCTGCAGGCTTCCCTATGTGTGTGTGTGTGTATGTGTGTTGTGTTTCAGGCATCGGATTCATGTCGGACTCGTTCGACAGGCAGGACAAGGCGAAGATTCTGTACGCACAAGGGGACCTGCCGCAGGATGTGGAGGTGCTGTCCGAGGGATTGGGCCCGGAGGACGGCTACACGGACGAGGGAAGAGGCATGATGGAGCTGACGTGAGTGCGTGAGGAACGACACAACGAGCGGCCACGTGACATTTGTGGAGGCATCCCTTTCTCTCTCTCTCTCTCTCTCTCTCACTCTGCCTGTGTTGCTGTCACACCCCAGTTATGATGTGTGTCCTGGCGCAAAGAAATTCGCCTTTCATTCGGCCTTCAATGGCATGGTAATGCTGCTGACACTGATTCACTGAGACGTACCACGTACTCTGTTGTCTCTCGTTCGCAGGCTAGTTTCGCCCACGGTCGGTAGCAGAGGCCGAGCTGTCCATCCATCCATCGATCCATCCATGTAGATGCGCCTGTGTGTGTGTGTGTGTGTGTATGTCCCAGGCATTTTGGACCTGGCCGAGCTCGGCTGCGAGGTGATCGTCGACGACATCATCTACTTTGCGGAGCCGATGTTTGCTCATGGCGTAAGGGCGCCAACCCTGACACTGATCGCAGCTCAGCAGAGGAGAGGCGACTGACGATGGCAAGTGTGTCGGTGTGTCGGTGTCAACTCTCCCCGTCAGATCATAGCCCAGGCGGTGGACGAGGTGACCTCCAAGGGAAGGCACTACTTCTCCTCTGCTGGCAACAACGGCGACTCAGCGCTTCAAGACTACTACAATGCGTCGGGCGTCAGGGACATTATCAATTTCGGCTTCGGGGTTGCCATCGAGTACGAGTGGCACTGGTTCAGGTGACCTCTCTCTCTCTCTCTCTCTCTCTCTCACACACACACACACACACACGCACACACACGGGGAGGTACCTCCCTCCGCGTGTTCGTCTGTCTGTGTGTCTTGCTTGCAGCAAGACGGGCTCCATCGACTACCATTTCACCATGCCTGAGGACGCTACACAGATTGGAGTCCTCAACTGGGACGAGCCATACTTCTCAGTGCACGGTCAGATGCCTGCCTGTGGCAGCAGCAGCAGCAGCAGCAGCACCAGCAGCATCAGGGAGCTTTTAATGCCTTGCCCCTCTCCCTCACTGTCGCCCTCACTGTCGGCACGGCACGGGTGCGTGCAGGTCCCCTCGGGAGCCAGTGTGACTTGGACATTTTCATCTTCACCAAGTAAGCCGCCTGCCCCCTTCTCTCTCGTCCGCCCATCCGTCCATCGTCTGCCTGTCTGGTGTGTGCCTGGTCTTGTCATATGAATGGCATCAGGGACGGGGAGCCCTTTGCCGCCAGCTTCGAGGGCATTGGAGGTGCGGAGGAGAGCCTCAAGCTACCCGGCGACCCCACAGAATTTATCGGCTTCCAGGTGAGTGAGTGATTGGGAAGCGTCAGCGTTACGTCTCCATGTGCTGATTGGGTTGGTATGGTATCGTTGTGGGACAGAACCTTCCCGGCTATGGCGAGAAGTTCATTCTGCGCATCGGCAAAGCCATCATCAAGGACGAGGAGGGGTGAGGGAATGACTGAGCGACGGATTCGCATGCCGACAAACATGTGGGTGGGTTTGACTCTTGTGTGTTCGTTCTTTGGCGTCCGTCCTCTCTGCTCTAATGCCTGCAGCAACGAGGCGATAACCAATCCCACCCGGATTTCGTTGATATGGTTCAGACGGCCGTACCCAGGTAATCAACACAACAGGGGTACTCTTGGCATGGTCTCGGTGGTCTCTTTGCAACACGCCCTCCCGCCCCCTCTCTCTTGTCTGTCTGTCTGTCTGTCTCTCTGTCTTGTCGGCCTTTCTTTCGTCTCCCGACAGACCCGGACTTCTTCGGAGCGACTGCTTGGGGGTACGCACACACGCCGATGACACACACACACACACGGAGACCAAGGCGGAGAGAGAGAGAGAGAGAGAGAAGCAGAAACAACCAAAGAGAGAGGGAGAGAAGTGTATCTGTGTGTGTCGTCAGTCATTCCAACACTCATGGCGCCACGTCAGTCGGGGCGGCAGCCTACTACAACGCGAGTAACTTCCTGTGCGCCAGTGACGCAACCTCGCGGACAACGAACAACAATTGGGGTGGAGTCGCTCCCGTCTGCTCCCTCCACACACAAGTGAATCTCTACTCATCCAGAGGTCAGGCGTGCTCTGTGTGTGTGCATGTGTGTTGGGGGGGGGGGGGCGGCAATCCAATCGGGCAGTAGATCGGTCTACTGATGCATACGCCTGTATGTATGTATGTGCTGGCGCAGGGGGGTGTTTGATCCTCTTTGACAACAATGGCACCCGACTCGACCACCCCCTTGACCTCTACAAACCCGACGTGACAGGACCAGGTGACTCACCGACACACCACGTGCGATTGACACAATGATTGGCTCTTGGGCTCCCTCTCTTCGTGCGTGTGTGTGTCCCCTTGCAAAGATGGCGCCAACACGATGTTCTTTGGGTCTATGTCTGAGCGTGCCAACGTCGAGAATGATACCTATCCAAGTAGGTGGACCCCTGCCTGACATGACAAAAAGAGAGAGAGAGAGAGGGCAGAGTTGCATGCCATGCTGGCTGGCGACCACACGACTGTTCTCTCTCAGATTTCTACGGCACAAGTGCGTCGGCGCCTCACGTGTGTGGGCTAGCAGCGTTGATCCTCGACAAGCTGCTCATGGACAACAAGCCGCTCTTGTCGCCATACGGCCTCAGGCGCCTCCTGACATACACAGTATGCTCACCCCCACCCCCACACAGACCTCCACACACGCACAGAAACACCTGGTCCCTCTGTGTCTCTTGGGTCTGTGTGTCCGTTGCTGCTTCCCTCCAGGCAGAAAAGATGGACGGTGCGTGGCGTCCGTCAGTGACTGACACGATGTGTAGGATCGACTCTTATATTTGTTGGCTGTGTGCAGATCCCATTCTCCCCGGGTTTCAGGTCGGCTTCGACTACCGGACAGGCCACGGATTCGTTGACGCCCTCGCGGCCTTCAAGGTGCTCACATGGACGCCTCCCCCTCGCCCTCCCCCGGGCCCAATCCACCCAGTCTGGCCGTGGCCGAAGCACCACCATGGCCACCATGGCCACCACGGCCACCACGGCCACCACGGGCATCACAGCAGGCACAGAGGGCACAAGTGGTGGTGAGTTGAGCTGAGCTGAGCAGGTCTTGTCTGGTCTGGTGTACAATTCGACATGTGGTTTCTGTCACTGACTGTGTGGCCGAACAAGGGTAGAGGAGGGAGCACCAGGGCAGATGTGTGTGTGATGTGTGGGGGGGGAGATGAGATGTGAGAAGAGGAAACTTGTGCCTTCCTTCAAGCGGGTTGTCGGGCGACCTGTCGCTGCGTGTCTCAGTGTCCGTGTGTGTCGGTGCCCTTCTAGACAAGTGTTTCATCAGTGTAGCTCTGTCACAGAGCCTGACAGGTAGGTAGTATTCCCCTACAGCTTTTTTTGTTCGGCTGGGCTGGACGCACCCCACCAGGCAGGCCAGCCAGGGCATGGCAGCGAGCGAGCCCTGATGCTGTCCGTTGTACGCAGCTACTGATTGTGCGTGGGCTGGGCTGCAGAGAGGGAAACGGTCCGCCGGTAGATAAAAAAAGTGTCGTCGTGTATGTCTTTTGTGCTCATTCTGTGTGTGTGTGTGTGTGTGGTGTGTGTTATGTGAGCTGTGTGGGCGGGGGGACGGAAAAGTGAATAAACGCATTGCCTTGCCTTTGTGTGCAGTGCCGTGCCGTACGTCCTTCGTAGGCAGGCTGTGCTTGTCTGTCTGTCTTGACTGCGGTTTCGTGCAGTGTGTGTGGTGTGGCCATTTGGTTGGTCGTGTGTGTGTTTGTGTGTGTGTGTGTGTGTGTGTGACCGCTGAGTTTTGACCCCTCAACCATTTGCAACGTGCAAATCCATCCATCCAGCCATTAAGGTCTTTGCGATTGCCCTGAGGGCTGCAAGACACAGGACACGTCTTTTCACGCGCTCACACACGGCATCCCCCACCCACACCACACCACACCACTAACGCACACCCACACATTGCGAAAAGAAAAGCCCATGGGTGGGTGGGCCCCCGGGTACCTCTGCCTGCTACACATCGATCGCATCGACCATGCCACGAGTGAGTCCCTATCTATGTGTCCGTCCAGCCGCCTGCGTCTTGGTGGTCATCGTCGTGTGGCCCGCCGCTATGGATGTCATCCATCGAGGCGTGCATGGCCTGCATCGAGTGCTGCACACAGCACCCAGACCGTTTAACCGATGGATGAGCCGGTGACTGCGCAGACCACCCGCGTGGCGTGTGTGTTGCCCCTCCCCCACTCACACGACTCACTCACCGCATAGCGTGGCTGCAGCGGCGTCGGCGTGTCGTAATAGATGTCCAGCGCCTGTCCTGTCTGAGACGAGCTAGGCCCGGACGAGGCGGCTGCAGCAGCTGCGGCTGCCATTGCCCTTGGTGGTGGTGGGTGAGCGCCCAGGACTGGGGCAGCCGGGGGATGGGGTGCTTGCAGCCACTGTGGATGGAGGAGCTCGTCATGCGAGGGGTCTTGGGGCTCGGCCTCGTCGGCAGTGTAGGCGGGCGGGGGGGTCATGGGGTGGGCCGGCGCGTCCGCATCGCCACGACTGCCACCTCCAGCATCACCCGCTGGGTACAGGCTTGGCGGAATCACCGAGGGAAAGACGTCAGAAGAAACGACAGGACGCTCCTGAAATAAACAAGCGACACACGTCCGATTGATTCTTCTTTCGCTGGTGCTGTGCTGGTGGCCCGGCCCCTGTGCATCACATCCCTCACTGACCCTCTCTTGCACATGTGAAACAGGTGCCTGTTCTACCACAAGCCACCTGCCGCGGCCAACACGGCCGCCCCCCTCAACCCCACTCCCCCCTCCCTCCTCATGCTGGCCCTGATCGACACGGCGCCGCACCACCCTCCTCCAGTCACCGCTCTCCCTCTCCGTGTCCCTCTCCCCTTGCGCCTCTCTCCGACCACCACCACCACCACGACGGCCACCAGCAGACGGCACGAGCGACCGAATGGCACGCATCGCCCTCGAGCGCAAGCTTGCCAACGTCCCCGTCGGCCGCTCAGGCTGGTGCTGGCGAGTTTGCAGAGGGGCGGGAGGGGGCGGGGTGGGTGGTGTCTGCCCTGACGGCGGCTGCGTGGCCGGCTGGACTTGCCTCTGGACAAGAGGTGCCTCGATGAAGACGAAGCTGTGATGGTGAGAGTGCGGGATGCCGAAACCCGGCAGAGGACGGAAGCCGAAGGGGGGGTCCCTGTCGGGCAGAGTGGCGTCCGACTCGCCACCGGGAGATGAGGGCTCCGGGGGCGGCAGCATGGCACGAAGACGACGGGCAGAGTCGTGCAGGTTAAGCCTGCACATGGGGCAGGTGGAGTTCTTCTCGAGCCACTCGTCTAGACACCACGCGTGGAACTGACACAAAATGTCACCAGCAGACAGACAGACAGATGTCTGTGTTGTGAGCGTATGTGGGATGGAGGAGTGACTTCACTTCACTTACACAGTGGCCACATTCGTCGACTCTTCTCAGCTGCTGCAGCAACACCAACTCCTCCTGGCATATCGGACACACCTGACGAGGGAACCGACCACACAGACAGACACACCACACCCAGACATGGACACAGTCCGCATGCGCTGTGCGGCACCCGCAATAAGCTGCGGGCGATTTCTCTCTTTCGTACCTGATGCCCTCCCTCTTCTCCATCCTTCCCCTTCCCCTTGCCCGTTGCCCCCTCCCCTGTCTTGACAACACTTCCAGCGGCGCTCTCCGCCACCACACCATCGCCACTACCAGCAGCAGCAGCAGCAGCTGCTGCTGCACTACTAGAGGACGCCGCGACGGACCTCTCCTTCGCGCACCCAGCACCGGCCTTCGTGCCATCCACGCGGCGCTTGGTGCCCCCCCGTGGCGGATGGAAGGGGGCGAATGCCTCCGCAGGAAAGTTGTCGTGCAGCAGCCGCTCCGCTAGAGGGAGGCCATGCACGACGGACGACGTGGTCAAACGGATGTCCCTGCACACGCAACACAAGGGGGGACAAGATACATACAAGAAGGAGATGGAAGAATGCAATGCATCCATCATCCACACACACACAGGACTGACTGACTGACCTACACGTCTTTCTGCTCACTTGAAGGACAGGGGCCCATCCCCACTGGTAGGATGATGTTGACGTTGCCTGATTGTCGCCAGAAGGAATGCCTCCTGGGCGATACTCATCATCTCGGGCGACACATGTAGGCCGGGAGGGCCAGGCGAGTGTAGTGGCACGTCAGAGCGGTGAGGTCGCTCGTCGGTCTCTTGCCTCCCGCCAAGTGCATGTAGTCCTGTTGCTGGAACAGGTGCGCCTTCGTCTGTCGCCCGGCGACCCTGAGCCTCCGCCCAATTCAGCTCGTCGTCTTCTCCCACGTGGTTGGAGCCAAATGAGGAGCGCCGACCTGTTGCCATTTCTCAACTACGTGGCAAATCCCATTCCTTCCCCTTTCCCTTCCTCCTTTTGCGAGCTACCGTGAAACTATCGCCGTGAAACGGAAACCTGGCGGAGAATGGAGGTGTTTTTGAACGGAAGCAGATGAGCAAACACGGCGACAGATGTGACAACATAAACATCCTGACCGCTTGAGTAGTAGTATAGTAACAACCTACCTGATGCAGGCCGAGGCTTCATCCTTACCGGCGTGTGCAGCGGTGGTGCGACCTTTATTCGTCACAGCTTCAGCAGCCGTCAAGATGCCTTCCCTCTTCGGCAGAAAGGCACCTCTCTCCTCATCACTCAGCAGCCACTCGAGCATTGTCACAGCGCCAATCACTGAGCTCCCCGGCCAGCCGATTGCAGAAGACGGGCAGGTTCAGTCGCGCGCGGCCATCACCGTGGGCCGGGCGAAGGAGGCGATACGCGAGAAGAGGCGGCTGATGATGGCACCACTGTTCTATGTGCCGAATCTGATTGGCTATGTGCGGCTGGTGCTGCTGGGGGCCATGTTTGGGTTCATGTACCAGAGGCCGCTGGCCTTCTCGCTGCTCTATGCCCTGGGGTTCACACTGGACTTCTTCGATGGTAAGGGAGGGATTTGTCTGACTGACTTCCTTTATGGCTCGGCGGATGCAGCCAGACGAACGGGCAGACACAGATGAGTATCGTCTTTTCGTTGTTCGTGTGTGTGTGTGTGTGTGTGTGTGTGTTGCATCGATTCAGGTTTGACGGCCCGGCTGTTTGACCAGTCGAGCGAGTTCGGTGCGATCATCGATGTGGTGATCGACAACATCAGCCGGCAGCTGCTGTGGTCGCGCGTGGCTCCGTCGGTGGCCCCGCTTATCGCGTGCGTCGAGTGGCTCGTCTTCGCCTTCACCAACACCGAGAGGGCAAGTGGCAACTGGAAGGAGGCCTGCTTCGCAGCCGCCCCCTGGATCGTCCGCAAGATCCTCTCCAACAACTTCCGCACCCTCCCCGGCACCCTGGTCATCAGCGGCCTCATGTTTTTGCCCCTGTGGGCGTACCTGCAGACCGACATTGCCCGGCCGCTGCTGCTGACCCTTCCTTTGGCCAGATGGCTGGCGCACCCGGCCGTCGGGGCCGTGTTGGCGGCCGGGAGGGCCATGGCCCTCCTGTGCGAGCTGTGGGTGGTCGCGTACTATGTCAAGACAGTGCTCGAGGCCGATGGGGCCAAGCTGAGGGAAAAGAAGAAACAGACATGACTAACAGCCAGGATGAGCGAGATAAGTGTGCGTGGCCATCGCGTGCATTCATGGCTTTTTTAGTGCTGGCGAGTGGGCGGGCGGTGAGGCTGTATGTGTCCGTTTGTCGTTCGGTCGTCGCTCGTGGGTGGTTTGTCGTGGGTCGGGTGGTAGAGCTGAGATTTGATCACCGAGACGGTGAGGTTTTGTTTGTTTTTTTCGCAGTGGTCATCCCATCTTATGTGTGTGTTCTGCCTGTCTTCCGTGCTGCCCGGCTGTGTGAGTGCGTTCGTTCATCGACGGCTGGCCGCTGCTGATGCACGGCACTGATGCGTCGAAGGCCGATCATCGGAAAGACATATATGCTGACTTGTGTCTCTGCAGTGCACATGGCTCACAGCACACATGGTTGGTTTATCTTCTACTTGTTCTTTGCGGGGTTTCTCGCCGTGAATGACTCACCAGAGCCACCCTCCATCACATTGACTCCATTCACTCACGCATTCGAGCCGCCTGCGGACGTGGCTACAATAACAGCATCCATCCATATCTTCATGCAATCCATCCACTCATTCCTCTTCACTGTCGCGTCTCTGAGTCAGGGCCGAGATGAGTCGCTGTTTGGTTTCACAGAAGAGATGGCTGATTTGAGTCTGTCGAGTCTGACTGATTTGAGTCTGTTTGTGAGGTTTTTCATTAGGCGCTCAATTCTCCTCGACCGTATCTTATCGCGTTGTGGGATCTCCAGCTGCAAGATGGCGTAGACGGGGGTGTGGTCAGAAGCCGTGATGTGGGGTACTGAGCTGTAGATACAGCTCACAGCAAGGATTGATATACATCATCCTATCTATTCAGCAGTTTGTAGCCGTGATTACCTGTACAAGCCGGCACGACAGACGCTCCCAGGCCACACAAGAACGCGGTCGCAGTACTGAGGACCTACTCAAGCAGGAGACATGAATGGTCGGTTGACTGCTTTCTTAATATATACGTTGCCTACATTTCATCCTCTTGCTTTTCTTGCGACTTCCGACTGACGCACAGGCACATACATCAATACAGAGCACAGACAGATGTACACGTCCATCCCACGCACAAGTCACCTTACCCAGGTAACACTCTCCCGCCGCACACGCTAAGACGAGAAGACGCGCAAAAGATAACCAATCTCGCATGCCGTCTGTATGTCTACGTACCTGCCTCCATGTTGTACCCAAAATTGTCCACATTCTCCTCTTCCGCCTCGCAAAGCATGTGATCAGCTAGGTCCTCACGTGGAGTTTCCAGCTTCGTCTTGTTCGTGGCTTGGCGCTTCGGCTTGTAGTAACACTCGTCAATCTTTGTGGGCTTCTCTCGTCGGACTGGACGTGTGAATGTTGGAAGGAAGTTAATGGGTATCTGCAGAGAGCCAGTGCTACTTCTTCATGTCTCGTCTCTTCCTTATCATTCATCACACCTCTTTCCAGTCCCCATCGAGAATGAGACTTTCAGGGGCTATTGCACCTTTCATGTGCCACCCTCGCCAAAGCGTCGTGATTTCGTCTCTTGCCTTGGCGACTTCTAGCAGGTGGTCATAGTCGATGAACCCTTTACCGTTTGGTGTAAGCATTTCTGCACCTGCACACCAACATGAACTCACAAATACGATAGTGGCATGGCATTCACAGTGAGTCTCCAATCTACAGTTGCTGTCATCGTAGATTTTCCCCATGCAGGCCTTGGTCTTGGGGTCGCAATCTCTCATCTCTCGCCCCTTGCGTGGATTGAAAGCGCCATTGCTGCATGGCACAGACAAACACGAGCCATCCAGAATATACACGCAATCAATCGACATAGGTATCTCGTTCTTTACTCACAACACTGCCGCGTCGCAGTCTGCACGAAGATTTCGAGCATCAAAGCGTGAGTTCGTCAGAAAAGACGTTATTCGCTTGGCCTGAGAATGGCGCACATCGTCTTGTGTCTTAAGGTGAGTGCCGGCAAAGCAAAGATTGAAGTCTGCACGCGAAGAGTGGTGAGGTCTTCTTAAAAAAGCTGGTAATGCTGTCCTTCCGACCGGATTTTGAGGTCGAGTTGCCATGTTGGAATCGTATGGCCAGCCGAGCATACACTGCTGACTTGCTGGCCGTGGACTCAGTATACTCTGCTTCCATCTTGTTGATAAACTGCATTTGGCCATGTAGAAAATGAGAGATTATGGATGTCACATGAGTTCTCACCAACGTATGAAACGGCTCCTTCCACGTATCGACCCTTTCCACTTCGAGATTTCTTTTGCTGAGTCTCTCTTTGTCGACAAAAATTGCCCTGATTTATGACACAAGGAGACATGGAGAGAGACGTGGCGTAGATGTGCGTTGTGCGTCTGCCCGCCTACATCAAAACTCCTCTTGGCGGCGACGATGTGTCTTCGGTCATGAACCTCATCCCACAGCCTTTCCCATGATGCTGCGCCGTACCCATTGCATCCATTTTGAATATCGGAAGCACCTCATCTCGGAGCGGAACTGTGCGGCCATATACAACCACAATTACTCGAGCACAAACGAAATCACCTCTTTTCCTTCTAACCGCCGGGATCAATCTGTCCTGCCACGCGCCTGTCGAAGCTCGTCGAAGTATTTCACCAGTTTGTCGTCCCCGGATTCCTCGATGGTCATTTGGACGATGTCAGGGGTCGGCTTCCGATGCTTAGCCATGCAGGTAGCCATGAGCAAGGAGATGGCATTCTTGAAGTCCTCGTCTGCCACACCTCCTGCAAAAAGGCAAAACAGCATGCATCGAACGAGTAGGAGGGAGACACGTAATCGTGTGATTGAAGTGTCCACTCGACGACCTTCCAAATACTCCCCCCCCACCCCCCCACCCCCCCAAGCTCCCCTACCTGTTGCTTGTTTGACGGCAGGCAGGGCAGACAGCCAGCCCTTCAGCTTCGCTCAGCCGGATGACCCCGCGTTCCATGTGACTGTTGCAACAATCAGAACAGTCATCCCTCCTCCCTACTTTTTTCATGTGCTGCCCAAGTGCTGCCACCTACCACTGCACATATTCACCAGCGGACCTCCCTGGTGTTCGCCCGTGATCAGCGGCTTTCGCAGCTCATCCTCAACGAGCAGAGTCCTCCGCGACACATGGACTGCTAGGGCAGGCTGTGGGGGACTCGACAGCAGGAGTAGGCTCGCCCCGAGGAGCGCGAGGAGAACGACCGCCATGGGATGCGAAGACAGAGGACCGCCTGGGGGCAAATTGCCTGGGGGCTGCATGCGAATGCGAATCATTCGGCCAAGATGGGCGGCCCGGTAACCGGTTCTTGGCGAGAGCATCCTTAGCGCCTCGGTTGTGGACCCAATGTGGAGATGTCCGGCAGCAGTTCGAGCACTGCAACGGGCTTGACACTCATACAGGCACCCATCCATTGCCTGTTTCTCTTAAGTTACCCACAACACAAAATGCACTGCGACCTCCCTCCCAGCAGCAATCTCACTCGCCGCAGATGAATGTATCAACACACTTCGAGCACTCACTCGGTTAGTCAACCGAAAAAACAGCTCATCTTAAGTCATTCAGTCACTCGTCAGCGCCCCTCTCCTTCAACGCCGCCAATTCAGGCGCTATGTATCTGACCCACACACACACACACAGGAAACGTACCGTCTGGCTGCATGTCAGGCAGTCTGTCGCTTAGCTTACGTCTGCAGGTCGTCTGCGAATTGGTAGTAGACGGTGCTCTTGTCGTTGTAGAGACTGCGCAAAGCCACCAAAAGGCACAAAGGCAGGGACGATCATCCAGCCATTAGCGACAGAGAATCGGTTGTTCTTTCTCTCTCACTCACTCACCGTGCGTTGTCCCAAATGCGGTTGAGCTCCTCGACAAATGCCTCCTTGCTCTCAAACTCTGCACGATGGATGGGCAGAAGGACAGAGGGCACACAAATGCGGTCTGCTAGTTATTGTGAGGTGGTGGGCTGGCTGTTCGCTTACTGTTGGCCTTGGCTTTCTTCTGCATGGTGCCGACGTCTGCACACATTGAAGGACAGCCAGGCAGTGAGGTGGGGAGGGAGAGAGGGAGGGAGGGAGGATCCATCCATTGTATACCAGAAGTTGGTGGTTCGGCACTTACCCGTCGGCTCTTTGATTATGTCATAGTACCCCGGTGCGTCCGCGGCCTTGACGGGCTTGACGTAGGGCCAGGACTTCTCGTGCTTAATCAGCTTGTCCAGCACGGCCAGGCACTGCTTCTGGAAGCCGCTCTCCTTGCCCTTCCTGGGGTGCGGCTGACGCTTCGACTGACCGCGCCCAGACTGAGCCACGCGCGGCTTCTCTGATGGGTGGTACAGGCAGACACAAGGATGCAGATACACTCATGGGTGTGCGGTGCTAACCGATGGATGCAGGTGGCTGTGGGGTTGGCACGGCCGGTTTGCGCGGAAGGGACGAGGGGAAGGGCAGGATGGGCGGGGGCGGCAGCTTGCCGTTGGGCTGGATGTCCGGGTACTTGGCCAATATCTCAGCTGCACACAACACAACACAACACAACAGGCAGACAAAGACGTTTGCTGTGGGGGTGTGTGTGCGAGAGAGGCTGTCTGGCTGACCAAGCCCCGGGATAAGCCGGGGCTTCTTGTTGTTGCCCTCCGTCTTGTCCAGGTCCCCAAGGGTATACACAGGCCGGTTGGCCATCAACAACTCATCCAACGCCTGCAACACAGAGGTCGGGACATCGATCTGTGTGTGTGTGGGATTGCAACCATGGCGTGAAGGCGCACCTTCTGCTGTTTGACCATCAACGCTGGAAGGTTGCGATAGTCAACATTGGGCAGAATGATGCACTCCATCTCAGTCACTGCAATCGACCCACAGACCAGACAAGAGCAGCCAGGGCGTGGCGTGGATGCGTCTGCTGCTGCTGGCGTGTGGATATGTCTGCGCACCCTTGTCATACTCCTTGATGAACCCCTTGTACTTCTCCTTGACAGCCTTGTCAGCTGGAACGAACCCCTGCACACGTGACCAGAGCGAGATCAAGATGGATCAAGATGTGGGTGCCCCTGTCCATCAGTGCACTGCCTTGTGTGGATGGCGATTCGTGCTGATGATGATGCATGCCTACCATTCGTTTGAAATATCCGATGGCCTCGTTGTCGGCGCATGTGATGATGGTGTGAATGCCGGTGCCCATGGTCTTGAGGTGCTCCTTCAGGTGGTTCATCAAGGCCGTGGCGTAACCCTACACACGCACACACGACACACGACACACACAACACCCAGATTCATACGTGTGCCTTTGCGGACACTGAGTGCGCCCGTACATTCACACCTTTCTGGTCTCCTCGTACTTTACAGCGAGAAACGCAATCTCAGCAAATCCCTGACACACACACACACACAGAGAGAGAGAGAGAGGCGCAGACACACATGTGTTCAAGTCACCAGCAGCAGCCACCCACCCTCCATGCCACTACTTGCCTGTTCGAAGAAAGGTCTGAAGCAGATCCCCCCGATGACCTCCTTGTTTTTGATGAGCATCAGCGTGTGGTGCCGCCGGTCGAACACCAGACGCGCGACGTACGTGGCGCCCATCTTGGGCAACGCACGGCAAAACACAGCCTGACATGGACACACACACACACACACGCAGCCATTGCTCACGTGTGTCGTCCAGCCGTCTGATGTCCATCAATGGAATGCCTACCCGCATGTTTGCGAGTTTGATGAGGCTCTCCGTGTCGCCGTCGTTGGTGCGGCACTCGAAGGTGATGATGCCTGCAGTGCACACGACACGACACAGGCAGACCACACACACACACACACACGCGTGGAATGACGACAGTTGGTGTGAGTGATGCCTTGCTGCTGTTCACCTTGAGTGACCTCCTTATCGGCTATGTTGATCGGGCTGATGATCGGACGCACATTCTGCACACACACACACAGACACACACACAGACGTGCCCATCTTTCTGCACACCTTTCTGCACACAGCCGGCATCTAGCTGGACTGACCATTTCCTTTTCGAGGTCCTCTGGCCGCGCCCTCTTCTTGCGATTGAAATACGCCGTGGCCTGTGCAGCACTAGCGGGCTTCTCGCACGGCACATCGGCCATCGGCTGGTCGTCACTCTGCTCGGGCGAAGGGGGCGGCAGGCTCGAAGGCGCGATGGTCTGCACCACAGACGCGCACACACATCAAAAAATGAGTGAACCAATCCTGTGAGACATGTGACCTGAGTGCTCACACCAGCATCGCTGACCTGCTCCTGAGCTCCATCCTGAGCAGAGTTGGCATCCCTCATCTCGACATTGCCCTCAGCAGGATCCACCTCAGCCTGAGGTCCCCCGTTCGCCGCTTCACCCTGTTTCTTCGGCCCCTCTGACATCAGGTGGGTCCTACGTGGTGCTCCGGTGCCCTCCTATGCGCTGACACAAGCGAGACCCGGTCAAAAACCGGGAGAAATCGGTGATGGCCTTCGATTGAGCCCTTGCGAAAGAAAATGAAGGTACTTCTGGATGCAAATGCGATCCTGGGCAGGCGTCGATATACTGGTCCTTTCTCGGCTATCTCGAAAAACCACAGGCTCCCTGCTGAGAGAGTTGTTTCACGGAACGTCCTAAGGGACTCTGCGAGCTGAGAAAAAAGCTCGCAGCTCTCGCCCTCCATTTTTCCCCCGTGTTGTTGAGAAGGCGTCTGCCCATTCGTACAGGGAAGTGGTTGGCCACCAAAATCGCAAAATAAATTTGCCAGCGTCGAGAAAAACAGTAATTCGATCCTCACTCGACCCAGTTCTCATGCGGCCTTCGAGGTCTTTTGGGGCGGGCCTGAGGCACCAGGGGCCCTCAATCATCAGCCGTTCCTGATCTCTGCCGTGAGCCAATCGTCTAGCCGGTCTTTCGGCTTGTTTTCAGAGACGCCCGGCAATAATTGAGTTGGCAACTGAGTTCCGACATTTGGTGCCACATGCACATCACATCCACTCACTGCACTGCTGTCCTGTCCGTCTACCATCATATAATCCCCACCCCTTCAGTCTAATCTGCACCTGGCTGGCTGGCTGGCTGCAGACATGTACACTGCAGAACCGTGCGGCCAGCGGCCATGAGTCGTGCAGCGGCCGCTCCTCGACCAATAGGCAGGCTATGGCTATCGACGCGGCATCATGTCAAGCCCGGGCTGTCTACCTGTCTGTCTGTCTACTTATTGCGGGAGTTCCCACTGAATGGGCGCCTCCCCGCGTTTCTCCAGGATGGCATTCGCCCTCTGAAAATGCTGGCAACCTACACACACAACACAAGGCAGACACACACACACACACACACAGAGAGAGAGAGAGAGAGAGAGAGAGAAAGCGATGAATGGACGAACACCAAGGCACACACAGGGCGCTTCGGACGGTGCCATACATCCATACCCTCGAAGTGCTTAATGGAGAGGGGGGATGGGTGTCCGGCCTCCAGCACGTGGTGGCGGGACCTGTTGATCTTCTCGCCCTTCTTCTGGGCCGCCTTGCCCCACAGCAGGAAGATCGTCCCCTTGGTCTCCCTGTTGATGACGTCTATCACCCGGTCGGTGAACCGCGCCCACCCCATGTCCTTGTGCGACATCGGGCTGCCCTCTGCTACCGTCAACCTGACCAACCAGACAGACAGACAGACAGACAGACAGGGAGGGAGGGAGGGAGGGAGGGAAGGAAGGAAGGAGGGGGATGCGCGCGTGTCTGTGGTGCAGCGGGATGGATGGATGTGTGTGTGCGACGGTTTTTGGCTTACAACGCGTTGAGAAGGAAGACGCCCTGCTCCGTCCAGCTGGTCAGATCGCCGTGGCTCGATGAGCAGCCTGAAACATACACGCGCACGGCCCCGGCATGAGAAAGCATGAAATGGGCTGTTTTCTTTCGTATGCCTACCGATTTCTTCAAACATGTTCTTGAGGCTGGGCGGCGGCTGCACGCCTCGAGGCACCGAGAAACACAAACCCTGCAAAGGGAGGAGGAAGAGCTCTGTGTGTTGGCCGACGTGTGTGCGGTGAGGCTTAGTCTGCCCACCATGGCCTGTTTGGGCTGGTGGTAGGGGTCCTGACCCACAATGACCACCTTCACCTTATCCAGCCTGCAGGCACCACGCACACGAGACAGATAGACAGATGAGCGGTTGTTGTTGGGGCGACATGAGGGCGTTTGTAGTGCATACGGGGTGCTGCGGAACGCGTTGAATACCAACTCCTCGGGCGGATACACCTGCCACCACAACACACCACAACACACCACAACACACCACAACACAACACAATAGAGCACAGACAGAGGGAATGGCCGCTTGTCTGCTGGTGCGGCTGCGGGTGTGGGTGTTTTGTGTGTAGCCGGCCGGCCGACCTTCTTGTTCCGCCGTTCCTTGTCCACCTTGTCGATGCACGTGGTGAAGTACGACTGACACAACTCGCTCTTCAGCGCACCATACCTGCGGATGACCCACACACACACCAACACACACACACACACACACACAAAGCACTTGATGCTGGCAGCCATCCATCCATCCATCCATCTGTCCCTCCATGCTCTCACCACGCCGGTCCGAGTTGGGTCTCCCACTTGGCCTCAAACGCCGGGTCAACCGGAGCAGCAGCAGCCGCTGTTGCCGCCCCGCTCGACGACGATGCGCCCTCGCCGCCGTCCTTCTTCGGCCGCTCCTTGCGGATCACAAACGCATCCAGGCCCATCTGCACCTTGGCCTTCTTGCTGTTCTTATTGTTGTTGTTGCTGTTGTTGTTGTTGCTGCTGCCGGCCCCCTTGCTATTGGCCATGGCCGCATCGGCCGCTGCATCGCCGTCATCGGGCGAACACTCCGACAACTGAAAACACGCACGCACAGGAATGCACACTCTTCATGAGCTGCTGATGGGGATCTGCTATGTGTTGCTGCGGCTGCTGTCTGTCTGATCATGACCTCTCGCTTGGTGGCCATGATGGCAGGGCGGAGGGCTATGCGATGGGGCAGGCGCAGCAGAGGCCGAAGAGAGAGGCGCCGCACACCGACGAGTGGTGAGTGGATGAGCGCCTCACTCCTCAGCAGCAGGGAGAAGGCAACAGCGATGGACAGACGAGGGCCGATGCGCATACACGACAACCTGCAGCTCAACACCAGAGCACACAAACAGTGAGCGATGGATGCGCGGGCTGCCGCTGTGGATCTTGCGTGTTCTGTACTTTGCTCACACACAACATCACACGCGCCGCCAAAGCCGCTAGGGCTTTGGGTTGAGGGTTTAGGGCTCAGGGTTCCTTCGCCAGAAGAATCATGTCAGACACGAAGGAGAAAGGGCCAGCCGTCATTGCATTGCGACAGATCCACAGTCGAAGCCTCTCGCCTTCAACTTCAGATGGCTTCGCTGTCAGCTTCCTCTCTCCTGCGAGGCGCCGGCCTTCTCATCGCCGCCGCATTCATCGGATTCGAGGTGACTGACTGCAGCGAGGCTGCTCTGCTCTGCTGCCGTATGTATGTCACACCAATCATCCTATCAGCACTTCTCTTCTGTGCCTGTCCATGTGTGTGTGTGTGTGTGTGTCCACAGATGTGGGGCGGGGCTTCTGCGTTGGACGCCATCGCCGTTGTGCTGGGGGGGCCGTCCGGCAAGAAGGGGCTGCACATACTCAACAGGTATCCCGACATACATTGCAATGGGCGATGATAGACCTTTCGCCATTGCCTGCCTGCCTGTCTGCTTGTGTGTCCGTGTGGTGACTGCCGTCCTCCTTCAGGTCTCAGAACATCATTGCAGGCGACAATGATGTCGGTGCCGTGCTCAGCGGCGGGCGACACAACTCTCATCCCGTCGCCGAGTTCTTCCTGCTCGTCCACTTGGCGCTCGTGGGACTCAACGCCGTCCTATTTCCCCTCCAGTTCGCGCCATTCATCCGGCGCAAACACATCGACCTGCACCGGCAGATCGGCCGCGTGGCGCTCTCGACGTACATCGTGTCGTGTCTGGCGGTGCTGGCCCATCATTTGTTCAGATCACCGGCCTCCTATGCCTTTGGCGGGGCGTCCTTCTACTACGATCTGGTGCTGATTGCGATCGGGCCGGTGGTGTCTGCGGTGCAGGCGGCCTGGGATGCGGCGAGGCGGCATGATGTGTCCACCAACATCGGGGCTGTGATGCAGGCTTCGCTCGGCATGATAGTGCCGATTCTGCAACGTTTCTATGCCCCAGTGCTGACAGTGACCGGCAAGACATGTAAGCGCCTGCCTGTACGAGCGAGGTTGACACGCCGCTGCCAATGTTGATCCCTTGCAATTGCTGTTGTAACTCATTATCCTCAGTGGGCGTCTTCCCTCCTGTGCTGGGCCAGAAAGCAATGGTGGACTGCTTCGAGGCCGCCCTTTTCGTCGCCTTCTGGACGGCCATCGTGCCATTCACCTACTTCTGCTCCCTCACCGTCCCCAAGCCCGCCACCCTCCCCCGGCCCTCGCCAGCCCTGCTGTCATCCCTGGCGCTCGCCCTGGCTGCGGCGCTTGTCTGTGCCATGACGGGAGTCGCCTCACCGCCCGCTGCAGACTTCTCCTACCTCGCCGGAACATCGCCTGTGGACGGCCCGGTGCCTGTGTGGATTGGAATGGCGGTGCTGGTGTCCTCTGTGGCGACTGTGCTGCTGCTGGGAGAGAGGATCGACGCTCTTAACGGGGCCATCGAGACGAAGAGCGAGCAGACCAAGAGGCGCTACTTCTTCGTGGCGAGTTTGGTCAATGGCGTCGCTGTGGTGCTTTTCTCCATCGGCGATGTCTATGCCCGTTTTCGATTCGTGACGGCCGCCGCATTTCTCTGTGCGTCCCTGGTGCAGAGCTGCACGGCAGCGGTGGCTCTGATGATGCAGCCGCAGGACAAGAAGGCGGGCCGGCTGATGCACGCCACCGTGCTGACCAACCTGCTGGCGTCGCTGGTGTTCCCCTTCTGCTATGTCTCGGCGACATTCGTGTGGCCTCCCAGAGCTTTTGTGCCGGTGGTCGAGTGGATGGAGTTCGTTGCCTTTGTGCCTGTCACTGCTGTGAGTGCGGTCCTGTACGTTGGCTGCTATGGCAAGGGCAATGAGCGGGTCAAGGAGGTGGTGGGGAGCGCGATCGCATGGGTCAACAAGAATCTGAGTCTGCCCTGAGAGAGGGAGACACACACACACACACACACACGCAACCGCACACACACACAGAGAGAGAGAGAGAGAGAGAGAGGATGTGCTGTGGTGGTCGTTTTTTCCGTTGTACTGCACGGCAGTGGGCAGTCAGCTATTTCGTGTCTGTCTTGTTTGGTCAATCCATCAATCAATCAACCATGTCTTGTATGTATTACATAATCTGTTTGCTATCTCTCTACACATTTGGTTGGGGTACAGTAAGTGAATCTGCGGGTCTGTCTGTCTGTCTGTCTGTGCATGCGTGTGTGTGTCTGTGTCTGCGTCTGTGTGTGTCGACACCTCTCGCTCCCTCGCTGAGTACCAGGCACCATGGATGGATTGAGGTGCCTTTAGTGTGGTCTCGATGACCGAGGCGGACGCCCTGGTGTTGACTGTTTGCCGGAATGACACGAATGACATCGTTCCGATTCGTCCGTGTCCTAACTATATATGTAAAGCAATGAAACCGGGCACTTTGAGCAATGATCACCCGTCCCGCTTAGGGTATCCAAAAAAGACTGACAGCAGATGTAAATTTGTGGAGAGCCCGCATGTCGGAGAGGGCGGTGACGTCAGCCAAGGTGAGAATCTGAAGGAAGGAAGCCATAGATACCATTGGATGGATGGCATGTGGGCATGGCATCCCTCACTCAGTCGGTTCAGTCTGTGGCTGCGATGAGTGAGGCGAGTGAGGCTGCATCCACGCGGCCCGGCAGTCGGCTCCCCTCCACAGTCATGATCCGCTCACGCAACATCAGCTGCAGCAACAAGGGCAAGGGACTTCAGGTGAGAATATGCGCAGCCGAGAGAGAAGGATGGTGAGAGTTGTGGAGGTGGTTTCTGCCCGCAGGTAGAGGCTGAGTGCCATGATGAGGTGGTTGTAGAGGATGGCGGACACGATGGCGATGACTATGGGGTGCGCAAGGAGATAGTGGTGGTGCAGAAGAGGGGCGGCGGTGGCAGCGGTGCGGCCGCCATGGCATCGCCCATCTCCTCGCCGGTACGGCAACACACACAACACACCCACCCAACACGCCAAACACGATACATTCACGATACACAATTGATGCCACGGCCGGCATGTGCTGTGTTGCAATGTGATGTGTGTCACTGCAGAATGCGTTTGATGTCCACGATGGCGGTCGGGACTCCAACCGTAGCTCAGACAGCGTAAGAAGGCCATGCACACCACTGCACACCCGCCCCCCTCCCTGCTGCTGTGGCATGCCCATGGATCCCTGCAGGCCCCGTACCGGCTGTCCGTCGAGACCGTCTCCAACGACCCCACCACACCCATGCCTTCGTTGACGCTGCACCACAGGGCCAGGGTCGACGCCAGTGACGCAGAGGAGGGGGAGGGGGCGGACGGCGAGGGTGAGGGCGAGGGCGAGGGAGATGGCCAGGGGGACGACACCATCAACCAGCAGGCGCCCTACCCGCCTCCCTCCCCCGTGCCGGAGGGGGCGTTGTGGCGCTGGCAGTGGTCGGCCAACACGCAGACATGGGTGCAGTCATTCAAGCGGGGGGTCAGTGAGGGGGTGGGTGGGAGAGAAAGGAATATATGGATGAGGCCTCATGGTGTATTGTGTGTTGTGTGTGGTTGCGTCAGTTGGAGGCGGCCGCGATAGAGGAGAAGCGGCAGGTGGTGCTGAGGCGCCGGCTGTCGGCCGAGGCCAAGGGCACCGTCTACAAGGTCAGCAGAGCATATGATACGGCCGGCAGAGATGGAACACACCACGCACAACGGGTCGGCCCTCTGTGGCTGTGTGTGTCAGGGGTTTGACGAGCGCTTCGACTCTGCGAGTCGCCTCAAGTCCGCCCAGAAGAAGGGCTGAGAGGCGCGGCGATCTGCCTGTCTGTCTGTCGGTCTGGACGGGCAGACATCAGGCGAGTCGACACCATAGCCAGCTAGCAGGCAGCGTAGAAGGTGCGGACACGCCTGTGTGCGCCATTATCCATGCGGGACCTATCGTGCGTGTCTATCCATGTGTGTGTCTCTGTGGGTGTGGATGTGGGTGTGAGCGTGCTAGGCCTCTCCTGCAGATGGCAGGCAGAAAGCACACAGCCTTGATCAGTGGGGTGTGGGGGCGTGGGTGGGTGTGCAGAAGCAGAAGGCGTGTGGGTGTCTGAATGCGTTTGTTGCGTGTGTGGCGTGGCGTGCTGACATGTGAGGGGGAGGGGGAGGGGGAGGGGGACGGAGGGATGAGTGACACCCATGTATTATGATTGGATCACTGACGATTGACAGGAAGGAAGGCATCAAACACGTATGGTCGGTCGATAACACACACACAACGAAGCAAATGTTACGCAACAAAAAGGCGTCTGTCTGTCTGTCCTTCCATCTCAATCCACCCACCCACCGTCCCACCACCATTACTCAAGCAAGAAGCGCTCACCACTTGCAAGCCTCGCTCCTACGCCCTCACGCACACACACACACACACACACACATTCCGTCCACAGCAGAGCTGCACCTCCTTAAAGAGCCCGCACACAAACACCCACGCACACAGTGAGTGGCAGTGCGTGTACTGTCTGTCGTCACATACGCACGCAGCTGAGAGCAAACACAAACACACCAACCCATCCACCACGAACACACATCAGATTCATCCACGCAGGCAACATCCCGCCCGCGTCTGAGTTGAGTGGTGTGGTGTGGAGTGGAGTGGTGTGGGGTGAGGACAGCCAAGAGACAACCCAGGCTGACACCCGGGCAGGCAGGCAGGCAGACACGCAGGCACACACGGGCAAGGCGCTTACATGCAGCCGCAGCCCAGCCAGCTTTTCTCCTCTCTCTGTCTGTCTGTCTGTCTGTCTGTCTCTAAGCATCTACATCTCTAGGACCCTACACGAGTCGACCGATGGGCGGGACGGTGGCTGGGGTGGGGTGGGTGGGTGCCCCGACCGACCGACCGACCGACAAATCAACCACCGCCCCCCGCCCCAGCCGATTGCTTGCTTAATCATCGTCATTCAACCCACCCATCAGCTGCTCAGCTGCTCGCCGCCGCTCCGTCGGAGTGGGGGAAGGAGTGACCGGGGGGGTCGTAGTAACACGTCACCGGGCCCTCACACACCTACATGGCACACGGCACACATCAATCAACGTGCGTGGGGTCTCTCGGTCTCTCTCTGGGGAGCGTGCTATGTGTGTGTGTGTGGGTGTGTTAGGTACCTGGAAGACCTCGATCTCGTCGATGTCAAGCGGGACGCCCCTGAAGAGCTCGTCCTGCGTGTGGGGCGGCCGCATCGACTCCAGCACCTCCACCTCAGTCCGCCGGTGGTCACTCATGCGCTGCGCATAACGGAAATGCCTAAACACACACACACAGCCAGAGAGCGAGAGAACAAATCGTGCATCGACCGTCATCCTCCCTCTCTCCCTCCCTCTCTCTCTCTCTCTCTCTCTCCCTCTCCAGGGTTACCTGGGTTTGACGGTCTGCTGCACCCGTCCAAATCTGAGATCTCGTGTGGCCTCCCATCTCCCTCTCCACCCACCGTCCCGCGGCCCCTGGGGCATGTCCACTCCTGCGCGAAAGGGCTGCTGGTCCTTGTCGCCGTCCTTGCCGGTGCCGCCAGCGCCCTCCTGCCCGCCGTCCGGTGGGCAGGGTCTGACGCCCAGCCACACCGACATGACGTGGCCCTCGAACTCTATGGGGATCTTGCTGGGCAGGTCGGGGTCCTCCTCCACGTAGCTCTTCCACTTGCGATAGGTGCTCTTGTCCTCTTCCTCCTCCTTGCCGGGGGCCTTCACGCCGGCCGTCAAACCGCTCCCACCAGCTGCAGCAGCTGCCGCTGCTGCTGCTGGAGCGGCCGGGGCAGTGTGGGCATGCGGCACTGGGGCTGGGGCGGGTGGCGACGCTGCCGCTGCGGCAGCCGCTGCAGCTGCTGCTGCAGGTGGCTGTGGTTGAGGGGCATCGCCCTCGCCCTCGCCATCACCCTCATCGTCCTCCTCGTCGTCGTCACCATTATCATCTTGCTGCTGTTGGTCTTGCTGTTGTTGCTGCTGGTGGGGTGGTGGCCCGTTGGAGGGCATCAACGAGAATGGGGAAGGGGGCGGGCGAGAGGGTTTGGGAGGGGAAGAGGAAGCGGACGGGGGAGGCCAGCTGCTGGCCGACTCCCCCATGAGAGCCGGCGAGGGTACTGAAACGCCCGCCAGACCAAGGGCAACACCCGGCGGGCCAGAACCAGAACCACCAGCAGCGGCAGCAGCAGCAGCAGCAGCCGGAGGCCCCATGGCGTTCCCCGCTGGCTGCTCCGCTGCCGCCTGCTTCCCATCACTCCCTGCTGCCCCCTCGGTGTCGGGTTCACGCCGCTCGCCTCGCTGCCCATCGCCCCTCCCCATGTCGTGATCCTCATCGTCATTGTTCCCTCCACCACTACCACCACCACCACCGGCACCATTGTCATTGTTGTTGAGCAGTCCCTCGCCGATGGCCATGTGGTCGTCTGGGGGCATCTCTTCGCCTGGTGCGGCGAGGATGATGTTTGTGAGGACGTGGTCCTCCTTGTCGTCGATGGCCATGGGGGATGTGGGCTGCAGCAGACTGCCCGAGTAGCGGCCTGACGGGCTCAGCGACTCCATGGGCGTCGACCACAGCGCCTGCAGGAACGACGAAGACAGCCACTGGAAACATGCAATCAATGGGAAAGATACGGGTGGGTGGGTGGGTGGGTGGATGGGGGGTGTGTGAGTGTGCTCACTCACCTCCTCGCTAGCCCTGTCTGCGTCCCGGTCCCTGTCGATGCTCATGAAGGGGTTCATGCGAAGATGCACCATCCGACGCCACCACGAGTCCCCAAAATCGCGCGCAGAACTGTTCAGCGGCGGCCCCAAACCAGGCGAGCGACTCACAGACACGCTACCACCACCAGAACCACCCGCTGCTGCTGCTGCTGCTGCTGCCGGGGGCGGCTGAAACCGAGACGGCGGCACGGCTGGCGGCCCGTACAGCACCCGTCGTTGATATGCGGGCGGTGGAACGAAGCAGTGCTGGCAGTTGGGACACGTCACGGGGGGCCACGGACGCGAGTACACCGACAAGGTGCTCAGTGACCCACTGGCGCCAGAAAACACTGGGGGAGGGGGAGGGGGCGAAGGGGGGGTGCCGAAGCGCTGGGTCGGCGACAGACGGGACGGGCCCCCCGACGGTGAGCGGAAGCCGGTGCCGATGGCCGACCTGGCGGAAGCGAACGATGTGGCCGGGCGGGAGGGGGTGATTGACGTGTTGTGCGGCGCTGTCCCGTTCGGTCTCTCCACAAACGACCAACCAGAACCCTGAAGCAAGCAAGGCAGGCACAGCAACGAGTGAAGAGGAGGGCGATGGTGTGTGTGTGTGTTCGTCTCTGCCTGGCTGCTGCGTACCGAGTTGCCGCTGCCATTGCCGCCGCCGTTGCTGGTGCCATTGATGTTAGCGAACGGAGTTATGGGCAGGGGCACCATCGATGGCTCACCACCACCAGCACCACCAGCAGCAGAGGCAGCGGCAGCAGCAGCCGGTGTGTGTGTGGTCATCAGCCCTCCCCAAAACTCGTCGCTCGACGGCTCTCTATCCTCGGAGCCCCTCCGCCCCGCTGTCCTCCCCCTCACTCTCCCAGACGCAGCAGCCGGGGGGGTCGTGCGCAGCCGCACATTGCGGGTGCTCATGTGGTGGTTCTCATCCGTGGTCTCGGACTGCCGGCGAACGGCGCTGGTGAGGCGCATGGCCGAGGAAGAGCTTCCGCCACCACCACCACCGCCGTCGACGTTGTTGGAGCTCGAGGGGCTGTCGCCCGTGTCGGCGCCGTTGTCCTCATCGTCGCCGTCTTCATCTTCCGTCGGGCGACCCCCATTCTCGCCGCTGCCATTGCCGTTGTTGCCGCTGTTGTGGCCGCTCTGGCCCCACTCCTCCTCGTCTTCCGTGACGACCGGTGTTGCCGCCGGTGCTGCAGCTGCTGTAGCTGCAGCCGCCGCCGCAGCAGCAGCAACAGCAGCGGCCCCCCTGGGCTCCCTCCTAAGGTAGCGCAGTGGTCTGCGGCCGGCGAGGGGTATGGGGAAGATGAGCAGTCGTGTGGGGATGATCTTGTCGATGTTGGGGGGCAGGACAGGGTAGGGGGGCTCGGCGCCCGGGGGGCTGAAGGCGGCGAAGACGAAGATGGCGATGGGAGCGAGGCCCCTTGGCTTGATGAGGAAGAGGAGGCGCGACTTGTTCTGGATCTTGGCCAGCAGCTGACGGTAGTGGAAACCGTCACGCGTCGCACGGAACAGCAAACGATACACCTGACAGACAGACAGACAGACAGACCGGACCACAAACCATCCACAATGCATGGCTTCGTGTTCTGGCTTCGTGTGTGTGTGTGTCATGATGAGGTACATACCAGTTCCATATGTGAGCGGTCTCCATCGCCCTCCCCGTCCAGGTCGGCCTCCCCGCCCCGATCTCGGATCTCCCCCACCACCTGCGTGACTCGCCTGGCCACGCCCTCGACCTCCTCGCCGTACCCCTCGATCACCAGGCTGTCGAACAGCGAGATGACGGCTGGCGCGATGCCGTTGGGGTCCGACAAAAGGTGGATGGGAATGTCCATCTTGAGCTGGAACATCTCGCAGGCGTAGAGGAAGTCGGCCAGCTGGAAGGACGGCAGCGGGGGGGCCTCCACCCGGCGGCAGTTGGTCAGGCGGAACCGGCGGTAGGCGTCGATGATGTGCCGGAAATCGGACAGCGACACGCCGCGAACCGGGCCCCACCTGAGGGACAGACAGACAGACAGACACAGAGGGTGGTGTGGTGTGGTTGAGTGCTGCGCTCGCATGGTGGGTGGGTTGATGTTTACCTACCTGTTCATGCGATGGTAGATGAAGGATTCCGTGCCGCAGAAGGCCACCGTCTGCAGTGTGGTGGCGACCACCGTGCCCTCCACCTCCCTCGCCACCACACCGTCCTCCTCGTCCGCCGCGTGCAGCAGACCCTCACCACCAAAACGACGCTCGCCACTACCACGACCGCCCTGTTGCTCGTCATCCTGCAGCTGCTGCTGCGGTGACCGCTCCCCCTCCCCCTCCCCCTCGCCGTCTTCGTGTCCTTCCCCCTCCTCTGTGCGGCCGTCGGGCACCTGCTTGAGCAGCAGCCGATACAGGAATCGGTATGATGAGTCGTGCGCCAGGCCTGGCGGGATGTGGCAGGTGTTGAGGAGCGGGAGGGGGACGGGGGCGTCGGGGAGGGTCTCGCTATCGGGCACGGAGTCCATGGCGAGCTGCTCGACGAGCGAGAGGAACGCCGGTGTGTGGACGTCGATAAAGAGGGCGTTGGTGTCGTCCTTGATGAAGCGGTGGTCGTACGCGCCGCAGAAGAGGGTGCTCAGGACGGTGTGTGGGATGCGCCGCAGGATGCCCCGCTGCACGCACAGACGCTGCCCGCCCGCATTGATGCGCAGAATCTCCTTCTCGTTATCAGGGAGATCTGGTCAGCACACACAACACACACACAGAGGAGCACGCCATGTCGCTGCGCATGTCGCCCCCGTGTGCTCTCTCCCCCCATGTGTGTGTGTGCTCACCGATGTACGGCGGCAGGCGGAGCACCGGTTCGTCTGGCCTTGAAATGGCATCGGAGCTGGCGCTCATGCTTGCCGAGGCGGCAGGTGCGGCCGGTGCGGGTGGCTCGATGTCCATGGCGTCGCCGCCGTCCTCGTCGTGCATCATGAAGTTGCCTGCCTCTCAGACGGAAGGGCGACTGACTGTCCTGTGGCACATCTGCGCAGATGACTGTTGTCAGTCCTGCCGATGACGCTTGATCATGGAATGCACTACTGCGACGCCACCACAAGGAGGGAGCTGCACGCACTTTTTGCTTCGCCGGAAGACGCCCCCAAGCTCGCGGGGAAGGGGCGAAGAGAGGGAAGGGGAAGGGCCGGATCTATCAGCGCTTTGGAGGGGAGGACAGACAGGCAGACAGACAGACAGGCAGACAGTCAGACAGACACAGGAAGGAAGGGTGTCGATTGCCAAGGGAGGGAGCAACCACCACCATGCACCACCACTTGCATCCGCAGGCCATGCTGTTTGCTCGCAGCTGGAGCGTTTCCTCTTTCTGAGAGGAACTGCGGCTCTCTTCATTGGAATGGATAAAGGGATAAAGTGAAGACTTCCATCGCATTGGCTGATACATATTTCTCATCCCCACCATCACCGTTGCAGGTGCATGCACGACGGTGTGTGTGTGTGTGTTTGCAGGCGTCCACCTCTCTCATTATATATGCATCAGCGTCACCACTCATCAGTCAAGACACCTGCTCGGCTGGCCTGCAGCCGCGCTGGCCGCCCCAAGAGGCATCAAGAACCCGCCAGACGCCAGTGGGTGCTGCTGCCCCAGCAGCCAGCCCACTGCAAGACCCGTCGGCCACATGTGAGGAGACCAGCCCATGCAGCTGGCGATGCTGCGAATGCTGCGACAAGGCCACCATGAAGTGCGGCAGGAGCAAGGCTGACAGGCAGCCCTGCTGCTGGGAACGAAATGGCGGTGGAGATTCGACGTGCTGTCCGGGACATGTGGGCAAGCACAAGAGGACGGGAGAGCCCTGCTGCATCGACACACACACTGGCGAGTGCGCAGAGGGCAGTGGGTGCCCTGACACACCGCAGTCAGCTGCATGGGAACCCTGGATTTCCGTCGGTGCACCTGTGGGCCTCGTCGCCGTGGCTGGTGCTGTCTTCGTGGTGGCTACGAAGGCCTGGCCACGCCAGCTCGGAATCCTTCCACGTCCCGGCGGGGAGCGTGTTCGGTTCCTGGGGGGCGGGAGAGTCCTGCGATTGGTGCCGGCATGGCGACACGAGCTTTGAGGGACGGGAGGGCGGACGAAGGTTTGAATGAAGGTGGGCGGGAAAAAGGATTTGTGGAGATGCATCCAATGAGACAGTGACGAACGAGGAAAGGAGAAAGAGGCGAGGCAGGTTGCAGTGCAGTGCGTCAGCTCAACTCTGCAGGCAGAGGTTTTTGTTACAATGTGTAAGATAATGCGGTGTTCCTTCCTTATGTGGTTCGGTTGGTGGACTGCCGTGTGTGTACGTGTCGCTTTATCGGAGTGTCGTCGTGATGTGTCAGTGTATCAACATTCCCCGTGACAGACATAGTGAGTAGGCGGTCCGGTCCACAATTAGTGTCTCTCTCGTCTGTTGCCTTGCCTTGCCTTGCTTGCCGTGATGACATACATGATTTCATTAACAAGCTTATCCAAACAACACTCTCGACACTCTCGCACCACCCCAACCCTCCCCATCTCTCACACAAATGGTCTTCTCTCTCCCTTCATCCATCCATCCATCCCTCTCTGGCCAATCCCTCTCTAGCCAATCCCTTGGTGAGTATATTCCCTCCCTCCCCTCACTCACACGCAGCCTCACACCCAGCCAGGGCCAGCACAGCAGTCCTCACAAATGGGATCGCAATCAGGATGGCGCTGCACGCGCCGTTCAAAGCCATCGACGTGGCGGCGAAGGGGAAGGCTTCCTTCTCGTCATTCAGCGCCGCCGCCCCCAGCCCATGGCTGGCCGCCCCTAGCGACAGCCCTCTGGTGGGGGGGTCTGTCACCCGACACGCCGACAGGATCTGCTTGCCGAAGAGGGAGCCCAGGAGGCCGGTGACCAGGCAGAAGGACACCACGAGCCCGGCCTCGCCGCCGATGAGCTTGTTGATCTCCAACGCCAGCGGGATCGTCACAGAGCGGGGCAGCATACACAGTCGGCACTGACAGAAACAGCCAGACAGGGAAGGTTCTCTCTCTCGCTCTCTCTGTGTGTGTGTGGGTGTGTGTGTATGTGACTTACATCGTGTTCGAGGTTGATGGCTCGTGTGAAGAGGGCGGTGAAGAGCAGGGACCCCACGGTGGCGTAGGCGACGCCGCTCGATATGGCGGCTGCGTTCTCGCGGATGAGCACACGCTGGTCGAAGATCGACACGCCAAACGACACCACTGCCGGACCCAGGAACATCAACAGGAAATTGCCCGCACCTGCACTCACCCACAGAGAGGGAGAGACAACACATGCAGCTCAGCTAGGGACCCCTCCCCATCCATCCATCAATCCATCCATCCTTCCATGGCCACCAAATTGCTCGATGGACTGCGGCGCCTTGACAACCAGCCCGTTCAGCAGCCTCCACCACTCCCGGGAACGGTCAAAAGGTGGTGGACCGGGGACGGCAACCGCATACAGCAGCATGCCTCCCCACGTCAGGAAGGCGCACGTCAGCAGTGGGTGGGCTATCTTGGTCACTCTTGGCGGCAGCCGGGCGCCAAACACATAGGTGCAGAGGATCAGCAGCAGCAGGAACCCCTTCTCCAGCCGTATGTGCGACTGCCAGACCACCGCAGAGCGGGCGCCAGAGGACCGAATAACGTCGTCACACCACCATAAGGCGACGGCCAGCAGGAAGCACACGCACATCCCCGCAGCCAGGCACATGCTCAGCCGCGCAGAGAATGGGAGCGACGCGGCGGCAGATGACGAAGCGCCTTTCTTGCTGGTCCTCTCGGGGATGGACACGGTCAGCGGCTGACGCTCGCTGGCTGTGGCGCGTTGTGCGAGTGACTTGACGTGGGTGACGACTCCTGCCGTGGTGAGCAGCGTGAAGAGCATGCCGCACAAGATGACGGCCGCGATGCGCACCGGCTGCCCCACGTCCATCAGCGGCAGATTGATCAGATTCGGAACGAACCACACGGGCAGCCAGATCTGAAGACAAGCATCACAATGCACACAATGCGTCACACAGCCCACCGACACATCCCCTCCGCACCTTTAGGAACGTTGTGCCGCGCATGAGGAAGGTGAAAGCCCGCAATGCGACAGCGGGGCGGGTGGCGTTGAGGACCAGCAGTGTCGCCAGCACCAGCAGCATGCCCGCCAGGTTGCTGGGGAAGGGAATTTCTAGCCATGTGAAGAGCCGCCGGAGAGCATAGTCGACGGCGAGGAAGAACACAATCGACAGCAGATCCAGCGGGAACCTCTGCACACACCCACACACACATTGGACAGATTGACAGACGGCCGCGTCATTGCGCATGGAATCGTCGTGAGGTTCACCGACCTGCATCCATGGTGAGGACTCCTTCTCGCCGCCTCTTTCATGCCTGCACTCAGAAGGAAGCGCAGGCAACGGACACGTCTGATTCGTTCGTCGCTCTCACTGTTCAGCACTGACTTGACTGACCTTGAAGAGATGTTAATCCGATACTCGCCTTCCTTGCTGGCCATCTTCACACACAACCAGCGGCTGTGAGCCTCAGATCTGATCAGCCCAGCTTCGGGCGCGGGCTTGTGTTCACGTCAGGCCAAAGGAGGAGAGAAGACACACGGGCTCTCACAAGGAGAAGAGCTGACTTGACGGTTTCCCCGGAGCCGTGTGTCGTTTAACAGTGGTCTTCAGGGAGCACCCTACATGCGAGCTTAAACATGTCGACAGCGGCAAGATGACAGCGTTGGCAGATCTGCTGCATCCATGGCGAACAATCATCGCCCTACTGCTGCCTTTCCTCGAGTCAATGACTCCCACTCAGGCGGCTTTGAGCAGCTCAGCATCACCCCTCTATCCCCCTCTGCGGCACTCCGATGGATCTGTCAGCCATGCCGTCATCGACAGACATCGATGGAAAAGGCGGACTTCGGCCTCTGCTTTCGTCCTCCCTCCCGTCCAGCACAATCACTACTATCGCGAGCGCATCAATCTGCGTCGCAACCGCAACATCGGGCCAGCATCCAGGCGCTTCTTGTCACAAGCGCTGCCTGCTGTTCGCGATGAAGTGGTGGTGGCTGAGAGGCCGGGAGGGATGGGGCGGCGAGGGAGTGTGGATGACTTGATGCAAGACCACAGACGGAGGCGGAAGAAAATCAACTGGTACGCAGCGCAGACACTGCACGGGGGCATCTCGGCATCTGTCACCCTCATGTGTTTCGCTTCGTTTGTCTATGTGTAGGTATCCGGGTCACATTGCCAAGGCGCAGCGTCAGCTGCTCGAGTACATCCGTCTGGTGGATGTGGTCATTGAAGTGCGGGACGCCCGGATCCCACTGGCCACGGGCCACCCAATGGTGCCCTTGTGGGTCGGCAACAGACCCAGGATCATCGTCCTCAACAGATGCGACCTCGTGGCAAAGGAAGCCCTGCAAGACTGGGAGCGATACCTCAAGGTCGTCCAGCGTAGTGAGGATTTCGCGTAAAACCGCCTTCATTCTTGCCTGCCTTTGTCCTCAGGTATCAGCGGCCCGGGACAGCCGAATCCATAACAGCACTAACGGCGGCGGTGCTTCTCCCCTGCCTGCCGTGCCTGTGGTGCCCGTCAATGCGCGTGAGGGCGGCAGGGGGATCCCGCGCATCCAGAAGGCACTGGTCAAGGTGGGCGAGGCCGTCAACGCCAAGAGGGAGCGCAAGGGGCTGCGGCCGCGGGCTGTGAGGGCGCTGGTTATCGGGTACCCCAATGTGGGCAAGTCGGCCCTCATCAATCGGCTGATTGGGCGGAAGAAGACCAAGAGCTACAACATGCCGGGCGTCACCAGGCAGATATCGGTGGGTGAGAGGGAGGAAGAGATGGACAGACAGACAGACAGACAGAGGGAGGAGGGAGGCAGGCACATGAAGCCACACTCGTCTGGCCTGTGTGGGTGTGGTGGGTGTGCAGTGGGTTCGTCTGCGCGACCGTGAGACAACTGGGCCTGTCGAGAAGCAAGTGGAGCTGCTCGACACGCCAGGAATTATACCGGCCAACCAGGAGGACCAGTCGGCTGCGTGGCGTCTCGCCATGTGCAACGACATTTCGCAGGCGGCCTATGACGTCCACGAGGCGGGCGTGGCGCTGGTCGATGAGCTGCTGCAGGCGTGGAAGAGGCGGCCGTCGTATGTGCCGGTAGAGAATCTGCGGCGGCGGTATGGCGTGGACCCCCACTACTGGGGCACCGACTCAGCCAACGCCACGGGCGAATTCTACATGAACCAGGTGAGTTTGGGTGGACGATACACAGAGAGACCCCACACACATGGTGCCTTCGCTCTCCGGCTTTGCAGCTGGCCTTCAAGTGTTTCAGTGGCGACATCAACTCTGCCGCCGGTCGGCTGCTGAGCGACTTCCAGAAGGGCCGCCTCGGCAAAGTCACACTCGAGATCCCACCGCCCCTGCCAAGAAGACCACCACAGCACGACACGCCAACAGAGGCCGCTGATGAGACACCGGCTGAGCCGAAGATGGCTGTGCCTATTGCGTCTGAGGATAACCTAAGTGAGAGATCAGCTCGTTTGGAGGAGCTCAGGGCCGCCGTCGTGCCGGGGCAGGGAGGGCTGGATGGCTGGTAGGAAGGCATGTGTGTGCGTACTGACGGACATTTATCGTGGCTGTGAGCACGGATTGGCGTGTGTTCATGTAGTCATCCCATGCATGTTGGTATGTAGAGTGCATTCAATCAATCGAGTCCATTGCTGTCATGTCATGCTATCACAGCACTTACAGCTAAACCATCATGTCCCTCCCAAATCCGATTAGTCGTTCCACCCCGCTAAATCAAAAGCCGTCACCATAAAGCACAGTCACGACCTCTCAGCCCCGCACACGTCGCTGAACTTCCTTCAGTCTTGAGCTGGCCGTGGACTAGGAAGCTCTCGTTGCCTGTCACCCAGCGCAGGCGACGGAGACGCGCTGGTGGCAAAAGCGGCTGTCGCTGGACTTCCTTCAGTCTTGAGCTGGCGGTTGACTGCAGGAAGCCCTCTGAGCCTGTCACCTCGCGGACACGACAGAGACGCGCACGGAGAGGTGAGGGCTGCCGCGGTGCACCATCTGGTCCGTCAGGTGGCGTCTCGTGAGCCGGCTGCATGGCGCGCGACTCACTCGGAGACGGCGGCTGCCTGGGCGACAGGGGCTGCTGGGCCGTGGGGAGGGGCTGGCTTGATTGGGGACTGTCGCTGCCGAATCCCACGGAGGGGCGGGGAGCTGACGGCGGAGTGCGGCTGGGTGGTCGGCCCTCTGAGGCCTCGGGCGGCTCCCCAAGTGGCAGCTGCCCAGTCATGACCTGGTCGCCCCGCTCCTTCGAGCCCTCCTTCTGCCTCCCACCGCTGCCGCCATCCACGTCGGCGGGCAGGCCGATAGCCTGCTTGAACTTCTCCACCATCTCTTCCATGGAAGGGCGCTGCATTGGGTCTTTGGCCAGCGCACTGCCGGCGACATCTGCGCGCAGAGAGGAACAGAAGAGTAATGGTGTGTGGAGTCGACCCGGTTGGCTGCCCGCATGAGTACTCACCGAGGACTTTTGTTTCCATTTCAGAGACGGCCCCTGCATAGCTGACCAAGCTGTACTGATTCTGCACAGATGCACACACACATAAATCACTCACCTATTTTTTGTTTCTTTGTCCTGGCAATCTTAGCTGACCATGTGGGCGAAGATCTTGAAATTGACGCTGGTCTCGGCGTCTGGCATGTCCCACGGCTCGTTGCGGTCCTTGAGGATCGTGTAGATAAGCACCCCGCAAGCCCATATGTCATTGCGAAATGGACTCCTGTAAACGACGCACACATTCATGTCTCCCCTGCCGCTCAGCACACACACTTGTGCATTAGGTCCTTACCATATGAGGTCCTTCGAGCCGTGTTGGTTGACGAAATCGCCCGTGCCGTTTTGGTCTTTGCCCCGCTGGGCCGTCGAATAGGTGATGTGGTACCTCTCTGGGGCCATGAACGGCTAAGTGGCTTCTTTTCCTCCTATTCCACAGTTGAGCCACTTCTCCTTTCCTTTCTTGTCCGAACCAGCCACTGCACGCCACAAACAGGCCGAGCGAATCCATGACGGCGTAGAGTGTGCGTGGCGGTGTGTGCGAGTGCGAGACGCCAGGCAAGACGCCAATCGCTGAAGTGTCTCCGTACCAGCAGTCTCGAAGTCGTTGAGGAGTAGTTCGTAGCCGTTGCCTTGTCGCCGCAACAGCAGGTTGGCCAGCGAGAGGTCGCCGTGTGCGATGCCCAGTGAATGCAGCTCCTTGACGTGATGCAACAACTGCACACGCACCCATAACAACGGGAAGGTGACACAGCAAACGCAACGAGAATGAGACACATTGAAGCACGAGATGGACAGGGTGCGGTGCGGCGGACTGACCTGAAGGCAGAGATTGGCCTTCTCAGCCAGAGACATCAGCCTAAGCATATCCCGCGCAACACCTTCACCCAGTGAGCCAGGAGAGATGAACTCTGACAGACGGACATCGACCAACAAATAAAAGGGCATGATGGCCACCGCGGCGCATTGGCGGGTGTGTGTCTGGAGCTCACCGCTGACACTCCATTGTTCTCCCCCCTCAGTGCCCTCAGTGCTGACGACGCCATACAGCTTCAGGGCCAGTCGGCTGACCTCTTGGCGAGCGTGCTGTGATAGCCACGCATGAATCACCACCTCAGGAACTGACGACTGCACACACACCCACACAACAACGGCAAATGAGCGCCAGGAGGCTGCTGTATGCTTCGAAATCAGTACTTGTGTGCTGCCACGGTCGATCTTCTTGAAAATGAGAGCTCCCTTTCCCGCCACATCCTCGAGTTGTTTCTCCTCGGTGAGCGTCAGTGGGGCTCTCAGTAGGGAATCAGAGGCAGAGCTTGCCTCATGGCTGTCGTAGCAGTAAACCGTCCCAGCAAGGAGCTCCTCCATGCCCTTCATGCCCTTCATGTAGCCCGATGACACCCGCTCGCCGGCCTTCGTCTTGAGCCCGGGTGGTACATTCTCGAAGAGACGCTTATTCATCTGCAGACAGACAGACAGACAGACAAACAAGACTTAATGCATTCTCGCACCTCTGATACCCGTGTCGCTCTTACCTTCTTCCATTCCGACAGCACTTGTTCTTCCGTTCTCGCGGGCTTCGCATGTGACCGTCCCACCGGCTCCAGGGGGAGACTTTGGTTGACGGTAGGGCTCTCCAGCTGCTCCCCCGTGGTCGACGATTCGTGGGACGCACTGGGAGATGAGTGCTGCGGCGGTGCATCATCTGGTCCACTGGAAGGGGTCAGAATGTCTTGGTCGGCAGAGTGTGATGACAGGGAGGCCCGTGGGAAAGAAGGGGAGGAACGAGAATCAGAACCGGGACAAGAGTCGGAGTCGGAGTCAGATTCACTCCGAGACGGCGGCCGTAGGGGTGACAGGGGCTGCTGAGGCGTGGGGAGGGGCTGGCTCGATTGAGGACTGTCGCTGTCGAATCCCAGGGCGGGGCGGGGAGCTGACGGCGGAGTGCGGCTGAGTGGTCGGCCCTCTGAGGCCTCGAGCGGCTCCCCAAGCGGCAGCTGCCCCTCAGTCATGGCCTGGTCGCCCCGCTCCTCCGAGCCATTCTTCTGCCTCTGGCCGCTGCCACCATCCAGGTCGGTGGTCAGGCCGATGGCATCTTTGAAATCGTTCACCATGTCTCTGATGGAAGGGCGCTGCATTGGGTCTTTGGCCAGCGCACTGCCGGCGGCCTCTGCGCACAGAGAGGAACAGAAGAGTAATTGTGTGTGGAGCAGAAGCACATCTCGTCGATCTCATCCGTCCGTCGGGTGCCCACATGAGTACTTACTGATGATTTCTCTTTCCATTGCAGAGAGGCATCGTCTGTTGTAGACGGCCTCTGCATAGCTGACCAAGTTGTACTTGTGCTGCACGGATGCACACACATAGGTACGTCAAACACTAATGCTGTGTTTCTCTGTCCTGGCTTCTGAGCTGACCTCTTGTGCGAAGAAGCTGAACTTGTCGTTGTCCCCATCTGGCTCCAACCAAGGCGCCTTGCCGTCCTTGAGGATCGTGTAGATAATCACCCCGCAACACCATATGTCATTGCGGATACCTGAGTGGGCAGACCACGCAATCATGTCTCCCCTGCCCGCTCGCATTACGTCCTTACCAAACAAGGTCCTTCGAGCCGTCTTGGTTGCCGCCATCGCCCGTGTCGTCTTCCTCTCTGCTCGCCCGGGCAAACGACGACATGAGGTTCTTCTCGGGGGCCATGAACTGAGGGGTGCCTCCTTTTCCTCTTGTCAGATATGTCTCGAGCCTCTTCTCCTTTCCTTTCTTGTCCAAACCAGCCACTGCACGCCACAAACAGGCAGAGCGAATCCATGACGGCGTAGAGTGTGCGTGGCGGTGTGTGCGAGTGCGAGACGCCAGGCAAGACGCCAATCGCTGTCGTGTCTCCGTACCAGCAGTCTCGAAGTCGTTGAGGAAGAGTTCGTAGCCGTGGCCTTGTCGCCGCAACAGCAGGTTGGCCAGCGACAGGTCGCCGTGTGCGATGCCCAGTGAATGCAGCTCCTCGACGTGACGCAACAACTACACCCACAACAACGAGAGGGAGACACAGCAAACCCAACGAGAGGGAGACACATTGCTGCACGAGATGGACAGGGTGCGATGCGGCCGACTGACCTGAAGGCAGAAATTGGCCTTCTCAGCCAGAGACATGTCCGGAAGCTTCGGGTCATCCAGTTTCAGTGAGCCACCAGAGATGCACTCTGACAGACAGACAGTGACCACCACATCACATGAATGGGCACCGTGGCCACCGCGGCGCATTGGCGGGTGTGTGTCTGGAGCCTCACCGCTGACACTCCAGTGGTCCATTCCCTCAGTGCCCTCAGTGCTGACGATGCCATAGAGCTTCGGGGCCAGTCGGCTGACCTCTTTGCGAGCGTGCTGCGACAGCCACGCATGAACCACCACCTCAGGAACTGACGACTGCACACACACCCCCACACACACACACAACAACAACGACGGCAAATGAGCGCTAGGAAGCTGCTGTATGCTTCGGAATCAGTACTTGTGTGTTGCCACGGTCGATCTTCTTGAAAATGAGGTCCCCCTCCCTTGCCACGTCCTCGAGTCCTTTCTCCTCGGTGAGCGTCAGTGGGGCTGTCAGTAGGGACTTAGGGGCAGAGCTTGCCTCACGGCTGTCATAGCGAAAGACCGTCCCAGCAAGGAGCACATTCATACCCTCACAATCCATGAAGTCCTTCGATGATACGGCTTTTCCGGCCGTCTTGAGCTGGGGTACATTCTCGAAGAGACGCTCCTTCATCTGCAGACAGACAGACAGACAGACAGACAGACAAACAAGACTTAATGCATTCTCGCACCTCTGATACCCGTGTCGCTCTTACCTTCTTCCATTCCGACAGCACTTGTTCTTCCGTTCTCGCGGACTTCGCATGTGACCGTCCCACCGGCTCCAGGGGGAGACTTTGGTTGACGGTAGGGCTCTCCAGCTGCTCCCCCGTGGTCGACGATTCGTGGGACGCACTGGGAGATGAGTGCTGCGGCGGTGCATCATCTGGTCCACTGGAAGGGGTCAGAATGTCTTGGTCGGCAGAGTGTGATGACAGGGAGGCCCGTGGGAAAGAAGGGGAGGAACGAGAATCAGAACCGGGACAAGAGTCGGAGTCGGAGTCAGATTCACTCCGAGACGGCGGCCGTAGGGCGACAGGGGCTGCTGAGGCGTGGGGAGGGGCTGGCTCGATTGAGGACTGTCGCTGCCGAATCGCACGGAGGGGCGGGGAGCTGACGGCGGAGTGCGGCTGGGTGGTCGGCCCTCTGAGGCCTCGGGCGGCTCCCCAAGCGGCAGCTGCCCCTCAGTCATGACCTGGTCGCCCCGCTCCTTCAAGCCCTTCTTCTTCCTCCCACCGCTGCCACCATCCACGTCGGTGGGCAGGCCGATAGCGTGCCCGAATCTCTTCATCATGTGTTCGATGGGGAAGGGTGCGCATGCATTGGGTTTGGCTGACATCAGTTTCACGCCTTGATGGCGAGCTTTGAAAAAGGCGAAGGGAAGGACACTCCCTCGGAGTCCCTCCCCCCGCGTCAACAAGATCTCGAGAAACAGACGGCAGTTCTCTTCGCATGCTGAAGACTGTCATGCGAACAAGGTGGCGCTCATTTGTCACCCCTTGCACAGTGGAAGATCTATATGGATTCCGTGACACCACCCGCTGTGGCCAGGCTGCAGACGTGGCTTCTCATCTCGGCTGACCACACCGCGGTGAGAACGCACTTTGTGGCTGGTCCGTGTGCAGTGCATTCCTTCGTGTGTATCCTGCTCAGGTGTGGGAGGAGTGGCGATGATCTGAGTGCTGCGTCCCCGGCCCAGCCGCGCCGACCGCCGCTTCGCGGATCTGATCCCCTGTCAGACGCCCTTGGCAGACGTGGAGGCGTCGGTGGTGCTGCCCGTCGTGGGACAGAAGCTGCACGTTGAGCGCATCCTGCAAGACGACTTCGCAAAATGCCGGTGGGGGCGCTGCGTGGAGAGATGGACAACGGTGTGTGGGTCATCGGAGCCGCCGCTGCCCAAGCGGCTGTGACCCAGAGCTGTCGAGGTTGCCGAACCTGAGAAGGGAGTGGGAGACGGCCCGCGGGATACTGCTGGGGCACAGAGCACAGAATGGTCAGTCATGAGAAGGGGAAAGGAGAGGGCAATCCCGACACATCTCAATGGTTTCTGTCTGATTGGCGTGTGTGGTTGACTGACTGATTGATCGCTACAGCGCTCTCTGCCGTCTGCTGCAGGACGAGGAGGCTTTCCTTGGTTACCTCGTCGGGGAAGTCAGACCACCAAAAAATGACACACTGGTGAGGGAGGGAAAGAAAGAAAGAAAGACAGACAGACAGACAGGCAGCCGCAGTGGGGTGTCTCTGTGTTGTGTGTTTGTGTCAGTCAAATTGGAGGGAGCAGCTGGCTGATTGGAAGGCATACGATTTTGTCTGGGTGAGCGATCTTGACGGTCCGCGTCAGCTGAGGCGCCCGCTGTTGATGGCAATTCGTCGGCCTCGCGCTCACAGTGCATAGGGAAGCGTGAGGAGGGATGGGAGGGCAGACGAGCCAAACTCTCATGCCCATGTGTGTGTGTGTGTGCAGGTGTCAGGGTGTATGTTGGGAGGCCATTGTGGCCAGCGGCGGTGAGTGAGGAATGAGGTGCTCGAGCAAACATCCACGCTGGCAGCATCTCATGTGAGCGCAGAGAGGCTTCGTTTCGCTCAGTAGTTGGGCGATGGATTGACCAGACAGAGAGAAACCACTATGGGCTGACGATGCATGACAGCCAGGCGGTTGACGACGAGCACGAGTGGTCTGATGCACGTATAGATCTGACGCTGGCGCGGATGCCATCTGTGTAGACGCTGGCTGTGTGCATTCGTTTCTGTGGATGGCTGACTGGTTGGACATCACGATGGGGGCGGGATGTGCCCGACGCGGTCAATAAGTGTATTTCCTGTGCCCTGCCTGCCTGCCTGTGGCTACTTCTCAGCTGAATTGACCCATCTTATGCCCTTGGCTTCTCACTTACAAGCGTGAATGGACTCAATTCACTGCCAATGGTGGCAGCTTGCTGCCCATTATATTTGTGTGTGTGACATGGATGACACTCGATGACACAGGCATGGATGGATGCCATCACCTTCTGTTTGTCTGTGCAAGTGGGAGACACAGTAAGTATGGCCATCTGCCACACCTAAGGGATGACAAGCGTATAGAATGGAGTCAGTCAATCCAGCTGTCCAGTGAAGGTCGTAATTCACTGCCCGTCAGTGTGGATCAAACGAAGGTGGGTCGATCATTAGCAGGGCTCAACGTGGCCTCAAGCAACCAACGCCGCACTGCCAGAGTGCTCGCCGCTTGGCTGGCACGAGACACACACTCAATGTCTCGCAGGCCACACAAACGAAACACAGGTCTTTGAATGAATCAAGTCACGGTTGTCTGAATGCACATGCGAAGCGCGGCGACACCCACCGCCCTTGAACTGCAACACAAAGCACCCAAACATGCAGCCACTTCACCCCCACTCTGCGGCCCTCTCCCTCCCCTCTCAGTCAGTCGATGCCCAGCGCCACAAACAGGCCGGTCTTCCTGTCGATGCGCCCCAGCTGCCGGCACGCGAATTGGCAGTCATGATCGCCCAGATGCTCGTTGAAGCCCTTGACCACCCCCACTACACCGCAGCTGACCGCCTCGTCCAGCCGGGCCCGATGGATAACCTCACGCACCCCCGTCATGCCCACCACACGGCCGCCACTGCCACGGACGGCAAAGCACTGCAACGGCACACGCACCATCACGCCGCCCACACTGGCCATGCCTCCCACCACCTCCCTGTTGCTGCTCGTCCGGGTCGCTGCAGTCTTGACGAAGTGGCCGACGGCCGCACGAACGCGGCGCCTCAGCTGGGCGTCGCCGATGAGGTACTCGTCGATGGCGGCCACAGCAGCGGAAGGGTCGTGCAGGAATGCGCCGATCTTCCATGCGATGGCCTCTGCCTCGTGTGGTCCGAATGCCATGTTGGATGGGGAGGGGTGGGGGTGGGCGCCGTCGTGGTGGGGGGCCAGGGGCAGCAGACGGGCCAGAAGCATCGAGTGGTCGCGCTGGGGGGCGAGGGCGGCGTTGATGGCCGACATGACGGCCTCGGACAGCTCACTCAGCACTGTGGCGTACTCGGTGAGCACCAGCTGACGGCGACGGCGGTCGACCTCTCTGGCTGTTGGCATGCGGGCGATGGACTGGGCTGCCCCACCCCTCAACAGCGTCCGGGTGATGGTCTTGTGCTCGCCGATCCGTCTCGAGCGATACTCTCCCTGTTGCTGCTGCTCTTCGATGAGATGATCGAGAGCAATGGCAGCGGCGGCGAGGGGTGTCCGATGAGGCTGGGGGGGCCTTCCTCGGTTGACGTCATCGGCTGTGATCCGGCGGCACAGCCACTCAGCCAAGAAGGGGGAGCCACGGAATGCTTCCAAGTGCAGTGGCGTGTAGCCCACTGGGTCTCTTGCCGTCATATCGACTCCGTGGCTGGTAATGAGGGTGAGGTACTGGTCGATGAATTGCTGGGAGAAGATGGAGGGGGCCACGGCTGCCTCACCCACCAGACTGTCTCCACCGGACCGCTCCGCTGCGAGTGTGCTGTCGTGTTGGAGGAGCCGGCCATAGATTGACATGAGGGCGTCCTCGTATTCACGAGTGGCGGAAGGGGCAGCACCACCGAAGTAGGGAAGCTGCATCACCGGGCCCCAAATTCCCCGCACGTTGGCCTGACGCGCCAGGAGGGCCTCCACTGCCGTCATATTGCCCGCACGAATCGCCACCATGATGGGCCTGTCATCCCCCCCCGCATTGATGTCGGCCCCGCCATCGATGAGTGCGTCCATGATATCGCGCTGCAGCTGACGGGAGGGCCACTGCGGGAAGAGAACGGGCATCCACTTATAAGGGGGGCAGTGCCGGATGCCGAACCCGGCGTAGAGGAATGGGTAGTTTGATGGGCTGTCGATGGCGAAAGACAGGCAGCTGTATCGCGAGAACGGGAACGGGGCTCCTCCCATGGTGCCGCGGACACGAGCGACGCCGCTGGCTCTCGGGTCAGCACCTTCACGGATCAGCCGTGTGACTTGGGCTTTCTCAGTGAAGGTGCGCCGAATGATGCCCTCCAGCAGCTGCCGACTCAGAGGACTGACGCCCTCATCAAAGATGATGTCGACGTCATCCGCCCCCAAGCAGCCGGGCGGCACAGCAGCAGGAGGTGCTTGCGATGCGGCAGAGGACGAGTGGGCCATATCACCTTGACTCACACCACTGCATCCACAAATTACACACACACGGCCATTTGCAAATCCGTCTCCCTTCCATATTGCTGGCGCAGCTTGTCACTCAGTCGGCGGCCTCTGTCTCAGCGAAGCCATCAACGAAATCTGGAGTCAGTAGAGAACACACCGCCCGGTGACAGTTCTTTGCCTTTCCAGCTCATTCATTCCCGCCTCATACCCGTCAGCAGGCACGTCGAGAGCATGCTGGTTCTCCTATTGCTTCTTCACCCCGGTTTGCTTCACCCAGGACACCTGTACGGCCGACAACGTGGCAAACAAACGGAGCTTCATGCTCGACTTTTTCGTTTGTTTACTTCCTTCCGGGGCTTCCCGAAGTCGAATAGCTGTGAACGCGTCATATATGTTGTCGGGGCTCCTCGGGAGGTCGCCACCAGCTGGAGCGGTTTCAGGCAACGCCCTACCGATTTGCGCGCTTGTGCTCTCCTTGTGTGTGTGTGTAAAAAAAGCACAGAGGGCGGATACACATACACGCTGGAAGGCCCAATGGGTGGTCCATCGGCTGCAATGCCATGAGAGATCTGTGGGTTTTGTCATTCATCGCTGATGGGCTCGGCTGCCAAGAGCTTGACGCCGTGGAGGTGGTCTCGAAGAGGACCGTTCAGGTGATTGGCATCTGCAGCTTGTGCGCAGCCTTCACACTCAACTACCTCTGGGTCGAATCGGTAACCAAACACACAACCAGACAGGCAGGCAGACAGGCAGACAGGCAGACAACACGATGGGCCGGCAGCAACTGTCTGCCGGTCCGTCTGGGACTGGTGGTTGCTGATGCGATGATTCACTGCAGGGCCGCCGGCGTGAGGAGCAGCTGCTTCGGGCTGATCTGAGTCAGGCGAGGAAGCTCAACGATGCAAGCCAAACTCCTGCGGATGTGTGTGTGTGTGTGTCAGGGTGTCTATGTTGCCTTGCTTAAGTGGTTTGCTCCATGACAAGGCTGCCTTGCTTGAGCGTCTCGACGCAGGTAGGTATCCGTCTATGGGCACACACCCATAACGACTCGATGGCGGCCGCCGACCGCATGCATAGATGTGGGTCGTCGTCTCCCTCTCTGTGTGTGTCCAAGATTCGGAGGCCGTTGTAGCCAGCAGGAGTGATGCAATGCACGACACTCGTCAAGTCAGCCGATGGCACGTCTGAGGAGCAGACAGGAGGATGAGCGGCCGCTGCTCATCTGATGATAGGGTGGCTGTTTGGGCAATTCGTGAATGCATCACTCTTCCCTCGTCCAAATGTAAGCGACCTGCACCCACGCACACCACGCAGACAGGGATGTGGCTCCTGCGGTGGAATGACGATAGCCATATTCAAGCGATTTCACACCATTGACTCTTGAGAGAGAGAGAGCGTGAAAGGACAGATTTTTTCTCCCACTTCTGACCATCAGCCACTCTGTGTCGTGTCGTGTCGATCAACTCATGCATAGCAGATGGATGGCTCATGGATGATGGCATGACTGATCTGTCTTGTGATGTCTGTGTGTGCTTCAGGTCTTGTCAACGAAGGTCATGAAGGCACTCAGTGGACAAGGGTTGTGTGGCTGGGTGCGTGTGGTGAGGTGTGCGTGACGATTGACCCACTTGGCTGAATGGCGCTCGTGCAGTCGATGAGGACCACAGGCGGGACAGCCCAGATTGTGCTCCATACATTTAGCCTGGATGTACAGTTAGCTCATGACTGTTTGCACGAGAGACTGATGGATGGATGGAATGTCGACTCAAGGCGGTTTGCATTGGTTCAATCGAGAGTATCGCACATGGCCAGCCGCACTACGTCCAGAAGCAGCAGCAGCAGCACGAGGGCAAGAGAGTCGGCATTGAAGCGCCACACGCACATATGTACAGGCAGTCGGCACAATCAGTCACCAGGCCAAAGGGCAGCCGCACGCAGCAAGCAAGTGTGGCTGAGCCATCGCATCTCATCAAAACGCATGTCAGCCGACTCATGAATACACAAGATCTGATCGGCACACACCACCACACACACAACAAGAGGCCATGTGTCCGCTGTCCTGCGCGTCCCGTGCTCCATCGTGCACCAGGCATGTCGGTGGCTGGCTACCACCACCTTGTCCTTTCCCGCATAATGTCCAGCAGCCTTTTCTTCAGAGTACTGTTTTCGGCCTTGAGTTCTGACACCTTCAGGATCAGCTCGTCGTTGAGCTTCCTCGCCTGACTCAGATCAGCCCGAAGCAGCTGCTCCTCACGCCGGCGGCCCTGCAGTGAATCATCGCATCAGCAACCACCAGTCCCAGACGGACCGGCAGACAGTTGCTGCCGGCCCATCGTGTTGCCTGTCTGCCTGTCTGTCTGCCTGTCTGTCTAGCTGCCTGTGTGTGGTTGTGTGTGTGGTTACCGATTCGACCCAGAGGTAGTTGAGTGTGAAGGCTGCGCACAAGCTGCAGATGCCAATCACCTGCACGGACCTCTTCGAGACCACCTCCAGCGGCGTCAAGCTCTTGGCAGCCGAGCCCATCGGCATGACGATGAAATGATGACAACACCCACAGATCTCTCATGGCATCGCAGCCGATGGACCCATTGGGCCTTCCAGCGCCATCCGTGCTTTGGTTGCAGACCCAAGCGCGCAAATCGCTAGGGTGTTGCATGAAACCGCTGCAAGAAGGGTTCGTTCGTTCGGCCGTCAGTGCGTTTGTAGTGGCGCCAGTAAGACTGTCCCAGGCCTTGCAGCAGAAAACACGTTACATCGACAGAGAAGATCCGCCGACGCAGTTGATGAATCTTCCCTGTGCGTGATCTGCTGGCAGCCGCTTCTCTCCGGCAACACCGAGGAGTCTGTGTGCGGTCCTTTGGTGTTGAAGATTTTGAGGGGATCTTTGCCTCTTTCGCCCATTGGCCGTGATGGCGGTGCATCGGTCCGGCTGCTTGTGCTGCTGCTCGTGATTGACGGTTATTGACAGCTAGAGGGAGGATGTTTTCTTCACAGCGGACATCGTTCAACCCACTCATACTCGGTCGGACAGCGCATCACTTTTTGTGTTGATCTGCCTGCCTGTCCGTCCGTCTGTGTGTGATTGACTGATTGATCTGCCTGTGTCCTTCTTCACTCAGAGGAGGGAGAGGAGTACTTCACCGACTGCTCTGCGTCCTTCTACCAGATCGAGGCCCCGGAAACGCCCGAAGACGAACACGGCAACGTGCCACAGGGCAAGCACAACAACACACAACACGGACACCTTTGCTGCACACACTCATGCCTCAGGTACCTGTGCCTGTGCCTGTGTGTGTGCAGAGACCAAGGGTCGGCTTCGGCTGGGCTCCAAGAGCCTGGTGTTCGAGCCCGACCTGGTGACGCAGCCCATCATAAAGTTCCCCCTGCGGAGGATCACTCGCGTCAAGGAGAACCCCAGCCACTCCCCCGCCCCCATCCCGTCGGCCAACTCGGCCCCACCCGGCCCCGCATTCACTTTCGGCACACTGTGGACGACAATGACGTCACAGTGGAGTGCCTCTGGTGGTGCTGGTGGTGGTGGTGGGAGTGGCGGTGGTGGGAAGGGTGGCGGCGAGAAGAGGAATGTGCAGGGTGGGATGACCCGGCAGGAGTCGGGTGAGGCGCTCGAGCAGTTTGCTGTCGTGGCCACCGAAACGGTCGGTGGGTGCATAGGGAGGACGATGTATGGGTGCGTGGCGTGGCGTGCTGGTGATGGTATGTATGGAATGCTCTTGTGGTTGTGTGGTGCAGGTGTTGGTGCCGACAGTGTCTGTTGGTGGGGAGACCCGGTGTGTGTCGCCATACTCCATCACCAAACACCCGGCGCCCAGTGAGGTACGTGGCATGCGGTGGGACACATCAACACACACACACACACACACCACATGGCACACGGCAGATGGCACATGGATGGATAGAATTCTCTTCTCTCTCTCTGTCGGTCAGTATGTGTTCCGTGTGCTGTATGCGTCTGCGTCGCCCATCTTCACTCTCACGATGGAGCTCTGGCAGGCCTCAAAGCTCGAGATGGAGGACGCCCAGTCCATCATACAGGTACCACCACACGTCGCAGGTTGAACCGCATCTGGACCCCCTCCATGTGTGGGTGTGTCAGGATCGGTTGCGCATCTTCACTCGCGGCCTGCAGTTTGACGTTAGCCGGCTCGACCACAGAGAGACGCTCCTCACACACAAACACTACTGGGTGAGCTAAGTGGACTGGATTAGATTTCGTCACACACAAAGACTCGTCCATGTGTGTGTGTGTGTGTGTGTGCAGGTTTACCAGATCAAGCCGTTGCTGCGTCACCGGGGTATGCTGCAGCTGACGACCGACGCCGTCTACTTCCAGCCGCAGCCCAACTTCTCCAACAGGCCATTCACACGCATCCCCCTCAAGGCCATCCTGCACATCTTCAGACGCACCTACGCCACTCGCAGAATCGCGCTTGAGGTGAGATCGGTCTCTCTCAGCGCTGCCAACACAACACACACAGACGGACACGCCGAGAGTGACAGATATTGTGTGTGTGAGGTTCAGGTTATTTCTGACGTGACTGCGCCTGGGGTTGGTGTTGGTGGTGGTGGCGGTGGATTGGCGAGCAGCCTGAGCAACAGCAATGCGCTGTTCCTGGCCTTCGAGACCCCGTCTGAGCGAGAGGCCGTAGCGGCCCTGCTGCAGCAGCAGGTGCCTAATGCATTCCAGCTGCAGCAGTCTGACGCCTACCTGCAGAAGATGACTCGGTGCGGTGCTAGGGGTGGCTGGGGCGTTTGTATGGCCTTCTGTTCTTCCCCCGATTGGTATGGATGTGTGTGTGGTGTGTGTGTGTGTGGTGTGTGTGTGTGTGGTGTGTGTGTGCAGGCTGTGGCAGGGCGGCCACATCTCCAACTTCCACTACCTTGACTTCCTGAACTCTGCTGCGGGGCGATCGCGCAATGACTTCTCCCAGTACCCCATCATGCCTTGGGTACTCAGCGACTATGAGAGGTAGCCACACACACACACACACACACACACATGAACACACCCACACATGAACACACACACACATGTGCCCGCCCACACATATGCCCGGCTGACAACGGATGCAGCCCCGAGTTGAATCTCGACGTTGATGCGTCGTTCCGCGATTTGTCCAAGCCGATCGGCGCGCTCAACGAGCAGCGGCTCAAAGACCTGGTCGCCCGGATGGAGGACCTCCCGCCCGACGAGCAGTTCCTCTACGGCACCCACTACTCCACACCCGGTAAGCGCC